TGCCATCTGTATGACGAACCTGTCCCCTCCCACTGATCTACTTGACCATGGGCATCGGGACCGCCTACGTTACAGGAAAGGCCGCGTTATGCTGCAGTAACAGGCACTACTAGCAAATCTCTGTAACCGAACAAAATAGAAGTTCGCTTTGAATCACGCCAAGTCCACGGCAGATGCCATTCTTAGGAGTAGGTCTCCTTCCAACAATGTCTCAGGGTTTTGGGCTTTTTCCCTCGTGTAGCCCTTTGCTTCTAGATGGTCAGAGAGGATTGAGAGAGGGGAAAGGCAAGCAGGATGTATAGGGCCAGACTGGAAGTAGCGTGCAGCACCCCCACTTGTATTCGATCCCGCATTGGCTCACCCAGCGGCAAGTGGGCTAGAGCATGTAGCTTCACCGTGTGCCCAAGAGGAGGGGAGCCTGATGTTGGTGGGTGGGCCACAGGCTGTAGACACACCTCTCTTCTTGGCTTCTGTACAGCCCCATGGCTGATGATGGAGGCCGTCGTCTATCAACTCGCTTTAATAAAGATTATCTCCCGGCTGCTCATAAGCCATTTCCTGTTGGATATGGACAGAGAATCTGTCCCCCAGGGCCTTCCACCTTCAGTGGTACGGCGATGCGCTTCTTTTTTTTATTTTTTATTTTTATTTTTTTTAATTTTAATTTTATTTTTATTTATTTATTTTTATTTTTATTTTTATTTTTTTTATGGCAATGCGCTTCTATTTGACACCCGTGGAATCCATAATAAGCAGAGCACAGGGGAAAGATCTACAGTGAAGCCCTTCGCCAAGGGCGTCTCTATGTGTCTGCCAATAGTACTTGGTCAATATGTACCCTACTGGATGGCTTCGTTATTTTGCTTTTAATGTTGAAATTTGCTAAAGTGGTTGGGACTGAGGATGAGATCAATGTAATATGGGTAGGAGGGGATGCCTGGGTGGCTCAGCAGTTGAGTGTCTGAGCTGGGATCAGGGCATGATCCCGGGGTCCTGGGATCAGGTCCCGGATCAGGCTCCCTGCATGGAGCCTGCTTCTCCCTCTGCCTGTGTCTCTGCCTCTCTCTCTGTGTCTCTCATGAATAAATAAAAATCTAAAAAATAATAATAATACGGGTAGGGAAGTGGCAAAAGGGGATGCTCCTCAAATGAGCAATTAGAAGCTTTTCTACCTGTGCCTGGGGTGGTGGCCGGAGAACTGTGTGAGTGGAAAGCTAGTATGCAGGCAGGCCCCTGACCCTGGCCACCAGGTATGGAGATCTAATACCTCCATGCAGCACCCTCTGCACCCCGGGTTCCTCTTCTTGCTGAAAGAACCTTGCAGTCTCGCAGGGAGGAACTGGGACTTCAGGCCTGCCACCAGGTCTCGGGGAGTTCAACCTCAGCCAAACACGGCATATAGGGATCCTCCAGCACAAGCCTTCTCAGGTCACCTCCAAAAGGGAGTGAAGTAGAGAATCACATCGTCTCATTTGTCAACATCCTTCCCAAGCATGCTTCCGTAAAACGAGCTCTGTCTTTAAATAAACAATTCCCCAACTGGTGTGAAAAGAGAAATGGCCCTTTTCACTTCACTAGACACTAAAATAGTGCTTTGGTGAGGGATGCCACAGTAGGTTGACTGCAAACTCAACTGGAAAGTCAGGGTAAAACTGAGAAAAGCCACCTCTTCCGCTTCCACCCTCAGGGGCAGCGCCCTTGTCAAGAGGTCTAAGGAACCAAGAAATTAACCGTAGAGCTTAGACAAATCCTGCACTTTCCTCTGCACTTTTCAGGCCTCTGCCTGCATCTCCAGGCTTCTCTTGTCCCCAGGCTGCCCCTCACCCTCATCTTGCTGTATCCCTACCTCCTGCACCCCCTACCCAAGGTCACTGTGCATTTAGATCTGGAAACCAGAGGCCCTGCCTTGTGGCCTTCCTCTGGCTCCATCCCTCCCCACAGGTGATGGAACAAAGGCCCAGGGGACAAGCCTTCTTATACAGTCCCCCGCCCCTCCCTCCAGATGGTGCTCTGGGCAACCTCAGCATTTCCTCCCCTGTGGCCCCAGACCACTCGTGGAGGACAATCAGGACCTTGTCCTTGGTCCAGTGTCTTGAAGGTGAACTGTGTTGCCACAAGACCAAGACCAAGACCAAGACCAAAAACAAGATGGCCTGTGGGATGGAGCCAGAGACAAGAAGAGAAAGAGGTCAGGCCTCAGAGGCTAGCCCTGAGCTCTTGTGATCCAGAGCATGATACCAAGGAGTCTGAGGTTCTGGACTCAAACCTGCTTCCCCCAGGTCCTGATGAAGGTCTGGTCATCACGGGAAAAGGATAAAATAAATATTGTGTAATTTTTACATATTTAATGCTCTGGCACATGGGCCTCCATTTGTTTTCCGGCAGGGGCTCTGCAAATGTTTTTGGTGGCCTTTCCCCTCCTACTTCCCGCCCAACATCCTCAGTTTTCAACATATTGCCCATGGTCACAGTGTCTCCTGTGTTCTTCCCCGGAGCTGGGATCTGGGGCAGATGCCTGAGGCCAAGGTGAGCCAGTCCACGGTAGGATCCTGTCTTTATTTGAAATGTTGATATTTTGAGGGGCCTGGATGGCTCAGTAGGTTAAGCATCCACCTTCGGCTCAGGTCATGATCCCAGGGTCCCAGCCTGTTCGTGTGCTCTCTTGTTATATCTCACTCTCAAATAAATAAATAAAACAAAATAAAAAAGAAATGTTGGTATTTTGTTCATGGTGAATGTTTTGGCATTATTTTTAAAAAATATTGCCCAAAACATGATTTCTCTCGAGTCTTGAGCTTTCGGGTTCCCTTGAACTTTACGCCTGAGACGAGTACCTCGTTCCCCTCCCACCAGCTCCTCCCCACCTGTTGCAGCATCTCTCCCTTCCCATTTCTTCCATGACAGCCCTTGTTCAGAGCCTCATCTGGTCGGTTGGTCAGCCTGCAATTGCCCACCCATCCTCAACCCGGACCCAGCATTATCTTCCTATGCATAGGTTGAATTGTGAGCCTCTCTCTCACTCGCTCTCAAAATCCTTCAAAGCTTCCTTGCCTCCCTTAGAATCCAAAGCCCATCATGCTCACTGGCAACATGTTCTGAGTCCTGCTAACCTTTCTGGCTTCATCCCTAGCCAAATCCCTCCACGTTAGGCCAAATCCCTCCATTCTAGGCCCACCTACTGGTCCTTCCCCAGAGGAGCCTGTGGTGGGCCGGATGCTTGGTCTCCCGGGCTGCTCTTCCTCTGCTGGAGCCTCTTGACTCCCTTCCTTCCCTGTGGAGTCTGGCTGAGCCTCCAAGGACTAGTGTCCAGAAGCACCTGTGGTGTCCCACATAGATCCTGCTCCTCCTACAGTGCTTTGACTCAACCTGCTCTCTGAGTTAGACTTAATCTACCTGCCCCCCTGCCCCCCCATTCCCCCCCCCACCTCAGGAGTGACCATAGGCCCCTTGATCAGTGAGCCTGCACCCTGCTTCCGACCCACGGGGCCAGGCGGCAACACCGCCCAGTTACTCCCTGGCGTGTCCTCAGCCTCCAGTTCATACTTGGACAGACATTCTGCTTATCTCCTTCATGGTCTCCATAATGGAGCTTTCTCCTCAACTACACGGATCTTCTCTGACTGATGGATGTCCCAGTGATGCCTCAGACTTGATCTGAAGTTGGAACCTTCTCCTAGACTGACGCTCTAAGCACCTACGGCAAAGGGCGACAAAAGTGACACCACGACACCTTCTATTTGACAGTCTCTCTTCCCATCTGAGGTCCTCCCACAGGAACCTGGGGCAGGGCAGGGCCACCAGAATCTGTCGCCGGTTACACACAGACACCCCTGAGTGTGGCCGGCAGTGAGCACCAATCCCCCTCCAGCCCTCTGTAGGCAATGAGGGAAAGGAGGGGCCTTTTTTGTACTCCCAATCAGCGCCTCACCCAAGGTTGGTCTGAAGGTATATTCCGATTTCTGTGAAGTCTGAAAATCAAGATGGATTCGCTTGTTTTTTAACGTGAGGTAACAGCCACTCCCCCAGCCACCCTCATGATGATTCAAACGAGCACCCTCCAAGCTCGTGGCTGTCCTCCCCCTCCCTGCACCTGAGGGTGGCGGTTTTCTCCAACCCTCGAGAGTGGAAGTAGAAGAGGTGGAGGTGGTGCTCAGATGCCGTTGCTCTGTGTTTGGGGATCTCCGTCCGTACACCCACGCACAGATCGATAGATGGTGTCGTTTCTATGCTGTTGTTACCGTTTGGAGTCCATTCTCTGGGTCTTCACTCCTGAAGGCGAGAGACCCAGAACCAGAGGATGCCAGGAACTGTGCCAACCACTCACCATTTAGCCCTCCTGACAACCCCAATGTGGGAGCATTTGGTTTCCCGGGGCTGTGGCAACAGATAACTGCAAATCGAGTGGGTTAAAACAACAGACATTTATCTCCCAATTCTGGATGTTAGAAATCCAAAGTCAGGGTGTGGGCCAGGTTGGTTCCATCCTGAGGCTGCGAGGGAGAACTTGCTCTGCACCTCCCTTCTAGCGTCTGCTGCTTGCCAGCAGTCGTCACTGTTCCTGGGCATATAGACACAAGGCCCCAGTGTCTGTCTCCTTCCCATGGCATTCTCCCTGTGATTTCTGCGTCTGTATTTCTGTCCAGATTTCCCTTTTATTATAAGAACGCCAGTCATTGGATGAGGATCCGCCCAATCCAATATGACTTCATCTTTTTTTTTTCAATATGACCTCATCTTAATTACATCACCAAAGACCTATTTCCAAATAAGGTCATATTCATAGGTACCTGGAGCGAAAACGTCAATATTTCTTTTTGGTGGTGGTGGGGCAGGTGCCAAATCAAGCCAACTAGCAGGTATTGTTCTAACTCTCATACTAAACTGAGACACAGAGTAACTTACCCAAAGATACACAGAAAATAGGTTTTTTTTTTAAAAAAATGTATTTAGTTATTCATGAGAGACACGCAGAGAGAGGCAGAGACACAGACAGAGGGAGAAGCAGGCTCCGATGTGGGACCCGAGCCCAGACCCTGGGATCACAACCTGAGCCAAAGGCAGACACTCAACCCCTGAGCCATCCAGGTGCCCAGAAAATAAGTTTTTAATTTGTCTAGATCTAATTATTACCACTTAAAAATTACTTGTACCAGGCCCTCTGCTGGGTGCTTCATTTTTCACGTCTAATCCCAAACTGACAGCATGTATTTATTATTCCCCCATTTTACAAACAGAGGCACAGAGCATTTAAGTAGCTTGCCCAGACTCACACAAATAGAAAGGGCAGATCTGGGAATGGATCCAATAATTCTCACCCCAGTCAACCCACTAGAACGTCTCTGAGATGCCTCATCCTTCTTCGCTCCATGTCCCCTGCTGTCAGTCCCTACCTGCAACTGAGAATCATGACTGTAAAGGACACGTTACTAGAACTTTCCAAGTGAACAGTGTATAGGAAAAATTAATCATTGCGATCATAGTACTGCAACTGGACGCCTCATGGTGGGTGAGAATCTGATGAGAAAGACCAAGTCTTCATCTTCTTTCCAGCAGCCAGCAGAGTTGCACGGAAAAACCAGGACAGTGAATAAGTCCCATTAAAGAGCAACATATGTCAAAAATAATCACGTCCCCACAGGGTGCTGCACATGAGCTGAAGCCGCTTCTGGGCTCTCACGGGCACCTCACTGGGAAGAAGCAACTACCACCACCGTGGGGAGGAACCGCATCTCAGCCAAACCTATAGAGTGGCTGTTTATATTGCCTCATTCTTCCTCAGAACGAAAAGTCAAAAGCATCACTTCCTGGCAGCTGCTGCGCATTCTTCCTTCCTCAACATTAAAGATGTACCTCACACACACACACACACACACACACACACACACACACACACGTACCAGTGCCTTGCAAACACAGCAGCCTGGACATGGAGCCCTTCAAGCAGTGCCTAAGCCACAGAATCTTCCTCAAGCCGATGCAAGAGAACGAGGGAGAAGGCATTCGGCCCAATACTGCAAAGGTATGACCGGCACTTACAAGCTAGAATTGGTTCTGCTTGTATCACCCCAAAAGGTATCACACGGGTAGGGACCAGGAGCACGGGCTTTGGAGGCAGGCAGCCTTGAATGCCAACTCCAGCTCTCCTATGCACGGTCCGTGGGAACTTAGGTTATTTCTCTTCTCTCAGCCTGTTGTCTCACTTGTGCAATGAAGATGCTGACATGAACCTCCCAGAGGTGTTATAAGGCATATCGACGTGCCACTTGATTCTGGACTCCTAAGAAGGAATACAAGTGACGGGTAAGAATAAAACACTGCTTTAAATTTGATCTCAGTTATCTTATCCCATGGACCTAAATTCTTATTTAAAAGAGACCGGGTTAAATCATGAATGGGAGCACAGCTCTGGGTGCATCTGGGATGGGAAACGAAGTGACGGAAAGAGTAGATACCAGATTAGTGGGACACATCCATTTCTTTCATGTGCTCGATATTAACCCCTGAATAAAATACACACACACACACACACACACACACATGCACCTGCACACAACTAGATGGGGTTAGGGAAAGGACAGGTCCCACTCTATCGTCCGCCCCTACTGTTTGAGAAGTTCACTTGGAATAGGTTTAGTTGGGGCATGTGAGTCCTGGGGTGTGCGACCCCTGTGCTCCAGGCGGAAGATGTGCTGGGAAAGGACAGGGGCCCGGGACCCTTCTCAAGTAGGAGAAAGTATACAGGAGGTAGAAGGAAAAACAACAACAAAACAGACTGACATGCCTCAAGAAATCATCTAGATAAAAGAAATATTAGGAAAAATAAATTCATAACGGTTGAGCGATTTACCTCACCTTTTTAATTGAGGTCCATGATTTTATTGTCATTACTAAAATCACATTGCTCATTGACGGGACTTTCCCACAGATTAAGTCTGTCAATACCTTATGTTCAGTTTTATATCCACGAGACGAAATCCTAAAGGGCAGGGATGAGGTCGGACTCAGCCATGCAGCCCTTGATTTAGTGTGTGGAAGGGAGAGGACAAGGGTCGGTGTGTGCCTGAGAGTGGCCCGCAGGGGCGACACCTTCGAACGGCAGCTGCAGCCCCGCTAAGCAGCTCACACTCATCTGGACAAGATGCACCTGCAGAGGGAACAGGGACTCCCTGTGCCAACCCCGGAATAAGTAAGATCTAAAACACGGATGCAATTACAAAGTGGCATTTAAGTCGGGGGGGAAAAAGCCCCGGAGTAAACAGATCATTGTTCTCATTTTTGTTCATTGAAAGTACCAATCTGTTTAAAACTAGCTTTGTAGAAAGACAAACTGAGTAATTTGCCTTGTCAGTTAACAATTCATAAAAAAATAGGCTCCAGTATCAGCTGAATGCAACCACTCAAAGACAATTTTAAGAAGTATCAAAAAAAAAAATTCTTAAGAAAAAAACAGTAGCAGCAAAAACACTGAACGTTTGTAAACAAGACCACCAGTAACAAACCTATGCTTAATAACAAAAAAATGTGCATTCTTTGTAACACATTAAATATATATATATATAATAAAAAAGATTGGCCACCATTTTTCCTTAATATACAATACTCAAAATCTGAAACACGATTGTCAATAATCGACACAAATTGGTGTTATAAGGCATGTTGAACAGTCTTTTCCACCGTGGTCAGGGGCTCATGTTGCTGCAGAGGGTAAACTTTCCAGAAGTCTTCTCCTGGCTGTGATCCTGGCACACCGGGGGCACTCGGAGGACTGGAAGCACTGCTTGTGAAAGCAAGCTCTGCACCCTACGAGCGGGGGACGGGGGACAGCCGTCAGCGACCGGGCTACCTTGCTTTCCCACCTACTACAGGTGCTCATCCCCATCCCGGGGAGACAGGTGGTCCGAAGCCAGAAAGCAGAGTCATCCAACTAGAAATGAGGCAGCTCCACACGGAGGGATTCTAAAGCCCCCAGTAGGTCACGAACGGGAGGCTGAGAGGGCCTGATGTCCGGGGGACGAAGTGCAACCCCCCCCAACCCGGGGCTGCCCCAGGGTGTTGGTGGCCGACCCCACAGGAGGCGGCCCTCCCTGGAAATGGCCCTAACTGGAGAGACCTGCCTCCCCCCTTTCCAGGTCATCTCTAGGTCATTTTCCCTCTGGCCGGGATCTGGTGACCAAGCAACACTGGGTTTAAGGATGTGGCTGGGCCCTGTCCCCACGACGTGACAAAGCTGAAGGCCGAGCTGCTCCAGCTCCAGAGCACCCCGTGGGAGTTGCTGAGCCTTCTCGGCTCCCACCCACAGCTGGACTCCTCCCTCTGCCGAGGCCTGCTGACCTCCCCCCCCCCCCCCAACAGGTGCTGGCCTGAGAACAGGCCCCCGTGAGCTTCGTGCATGCAAATCCGGGCCGGAGCTTGTCTGCTGGGGAGCCTGTGCTCGATGCCCCCTAAGGGGTCAGGGGAGACGGTGGGAGTGGCCTAAGGGGAGGAAGGGTTCCTGTCAAGGCTGAGGCTGCAGGCAGGATCAGATGGCCCCCAGGAGCCACTTTAGGGATCACAGGATTGCCTTGAGCGTGGACACATCCAAACAAGGCTGCCACACTCTCCTGGAAAGAGCCAGACAGTAACTGTGCTGGGTGCCCCCGCCTCCATGGTCTCCATAGCCACTCGGCGACTGCCACTGTCACGCAGAAGAAGCCGGAGCTGGTGCCCAAGCCTCAGGCATGATTGCGATCGATTGTGATCTGACTGTGATCTGATTGTAAAACTGGGCCGCGGCTGTGCTGGTGTAAGAGAGCTGGGGCGTGGGCCAAGGAGCAACCACCCCTATCCCCGAACCCTACACAGGGAGTCCTCACCCTCGGCCCCTGCCCCACCCAGATCCTCTGCACCCGCCCCCCCCGCCCCCCCCCCCCCCCGCACCCAAAACTTTGTTAGCTCCCATCCAGCATCCAGGCCCATGCCAGCACCACGATGCTTTAAACAACGTTGTTGTGTTTAAAGTATTGAGTTGCCGTTAAGTTAATTCTGTCTCTCGGTTGTTAAGCTATTATTAAGCGCAAGTTAGGAAGTTATTAAGATACCTGCACATCGTCTACACGTTTCGGTCTGAAATGGGAAGATGACGGCTGTACTCTGGCAAAACTCGCAGATGAAGCCCTTTCCTTGACACAGCTGTAAGGGAAGGTGCCATAAAGTTAAGGCCCCCATTTGGCCTTCTGATGGAGGAGCCACGTTACTACTTGTACAGAACCTTATAAACGTCCGTGTTTAAGCATCTGTAACCCCAGCTTCTAGAAGGAATGGGAAGCTACATCATACTCTAGGGTAGCAAGTGGATTCAAACGGCACATGTGCACTGGAGACATGTGGAGACATTTCACAGCCTGGGAGTTGGAAGCACCAGGGAAAGATCTTGATTTTGCACGCGTGCTTTTTAATGATCTACTTTTGTTTCTGATGGTTGTGCCACCGTTCCTACGTTCACGCAAACACAGAGCTCCTGTGCCACTGGATTGTGAGTCCCCATGGCTGTACATGGAAAGGCAGGGCAGATGGGGGTCCGGGGAGGTCCCATGCAGGGCTTTGGCCCCCAAGACGAAGAGGTCACTGGGCCCAGGCTTGCATCCCGGCCCTGCCACTTGCCAGCACGGTGATCTCGGCTATTCCTGAACAGCTCTGAACCTCGTTTCTCTCATCTGAAAATACTGTCCTCACGGCTGGTGGGGGTTAAGTGAGGTAAAGGCCAGGACACCCATCATAGGTCCTGATGGGTCAAGGATAGCTTGGGGACACAGCAGTTCCAGGTGAATCCTTACCTCACAGCTGGCCACATGTGCAAGGGAAGCTTTGAGAATGTCCTTGAGCAAGGGCACCAGCAGCCTCTTCTTGACCCTGACCAGGTCCTCCAGAGAGAACAGGTGGAGATCGTCGGTCAAGTGCCTCGGCACCTGCTCAAATGCCTTTAACGCGCTGCCAGGGGGGAAACAAAGAGCAATTCAGACACCCACCTGCACGGGGGCCGGGAGACAAGAGGGGTTTAGCAGGCACTCGCACTTAATGTTTTGGAACTCAATTAAAAAACAAAAAAACTAAAACTAAAAGAAGCCCAAGGGCCAGTTAACCTTAACTCGTCATCTTACATTTTGCAAGTATGTCAAAGATCCTGGAAAGCCAGGATTTTAAAATTCCATACAAGCGGATTTCAGAAAGCTGAACCAGCAGAAAAACAAACCCTTTGCAGCCTGCCCATGTTACACTGAGCAAAAGACACCTGCGAATTTGTGCTTCAAATCTGAAAAACATGTACTGAGATAAAAAAAAAAAGGAGAAGAAGAAGAAGAAGAAGAAGAAGAAGAAGAAGAAGAAGAAGAAGAAGAAGAAGAAGAAGAAAATAATTACTTGATTCTCCATTTCTCCATTCTGGCTCAATTTCAAGTCCATCTACATGCTGACTGTTGTCCAGCTGCCCGTAGGCAGGCGTGTGACCCCCCCATCCCCATATCCAGGAGTCCAGCCCTGAGCATCCAACTGGGAGCAGATCAAAGCCACTTGAGTGTCCCAAGGACACCCAAATATTGAATGTAGCTTTCCCCAACCGCCAGTGACCTCTTCCCGAATGCCCCAAATCGGGTAGTGGCATTATCATGCACGCAGCCCCAACCCGGCCACGGCCTACGCTAGATGTGGCCTTCCAGTCGTGCCAAACTGCGAGGAGTTCTCCATCTGGCCTGGGGTGCTTGCTCACACCGCTTTATCGGCCGGGGGATCCCTGACACCTCTTCGGTCCAACTCGCTCTTCAAGCTCAGGCTTTTTCTCCGGGAAGCTTTGTGGCCCTCTTCCCCACCTCACCCCTTCAGACTTAAATGTTGCCTCTTCTGCACCCTCAGGGCACGTGCGTATGTGTCCAACACGGTCGGGCAATGGTCTGTTTGTGCTTTCTCCCTGGACTTTACACCAGTCGCACTGATTTTTGTATCTGAAGCACAGAATGGATACTCGGGAAATTTTTGTAGACGGTAATAACTGTGGGTCTTGTTACATGTTACGCACAAGAAAAGCAACAGCCTGAGAAGTAATTGAACTGTCACACCGTTGCCATGAGGTAGAGCTTGAGGCCGAATAACTATAGGAGACTTGCTCCTCCTCAAGAAATCTAGTTCAAGGGGTGTCTGGGAGGCTCAGCGGTTGAGCATCAGCCTTGGGCTCAGGTTGTGACCCCAGGGTCCTGGGTTCGAGTCCTGCATGGGGCTCCCTGCACGGAGCCTGCTTCTCCCTCTGCCTATGTCTTTGCCTCTTTCTCTGTGTCTCTCATAAATAAATAAATAAAATCTTAAAAAAAAAAGAAATTTAATTCAAAAGCAATACATTATCATTAAATGAAGTTCAGAAGCTGAAAGAAGCTTTAAAACAAAACAATTCTTTAAAACTGTATCCTATTATAATAAATAATCTTCACCCTTTGAGTAATCTGTTTTTTCACTTAAGAAAAACTCATTCTCTGTCAATGAAGGCACGCCTATACCTTTGTGTCATGGCTTCCAGAAATTTCCACTTCTAGAAATTTATTTTAAGGACATATTTTCGGATGTGCACGGAGATTCAGCTAAAGTCTAGTTTTTTTGTTTTTTGTTTTTTTAAATAACCAATGGTATTACACATCTAACGAAGTATCTACTAGGTATTAAAATCTATTAGGTTTAATATCTACAAAGATATTAAAATCTATTTTAAAATAAATACATTAAAAATCTATTCGATTAAAAATCTACCGGTAAGACAACAAAACCGAAATTAGAAGTTCACTACTAGCGAGCCAGGGAGTGACCTAGGGAGAGACCCTGTGGATCGGAGCGGCGGGGACCAGGTGGCACACGGTACAGGCAGGTGTGTGGAGGCTCGCAGCCCTCCCCAGCTCAGGCCCGGCCCGGCCCAGCCACACTAGTTAGTACCTTTCAGCAAACCTGCAGGTCTTCAACAGCTTCTTGATCTGAAAAAGTTGCTCCTGGATTTCCTAATGTGAGAAACCAAACAGGGGGACACGTTAAGGCGATACATGACACAGGAAACGAGTAAATCAAATGCAACTGTTCTTTCTAACTTGGAAATGCTGCAGCTCTATAAGACGAGCCTTTGAAGTTAACCGTCTATGTAGCAGAGGTTCATGGCTGAGTCCAGAGATCCTCAGAGGGTCCAGGTGGACCCCAAGCTTCATGGAGTCTGAAGCTTACACAACCGTTGGGGGCCTTCTTTGGGGAAAACAGAAAGCTAATGTGCCAAAGGTGGAGATCCTGCCGTTTGTGGCAACAAACATCCAGGTGGATGAACCTGGAGGGCATTATGCTAAGTGACATAAAACAGACACAGAAAGAAAAAACCTGCATGGTCCCACTTACATGTCGAATCTTAAAGAAAATCCAATACACAGATGCAGAGGTGAACGGAGGTCACCAGGGATGGGCAGGTGGGGCAAACGGGGAGATTTTCCAAAGGGAACAAAATTGCAGTTGCGTCGGATAAGTCTAGAGGTCTGATATATGACATGGGGACCACAGTGACTCATACTCTACTGAATACCGGAAATTTGCCAAGAAGGTGCGGTTCAGGTGCCCCCGCCGCACACAGGGACACACATGATGTAACGGCCAGGAGATGGGCACGTCCACTAATCTCATCAGTAATCATTTCACTTGCATATGTGCATCTAATGCTCACGCAGTAAACCCCAAATGTAGAGAATTCATTTTAAAATGAAATTCTAAAAATAATAATAAGTAAATTTCAAAAGTTACATATAAACGCAAAATGATGCATAACTAGGAAACTGGCTCTGAGGCCTTGGAGAGGGTCCTGAGGCTACTGCTCCAGCCTCCGAGGGTCGATGGGCCCCTTGGGGTGGGGTGGGGGGCTGTCGGGGTCCCCGGGGATGGTGCAGCATGCCCCTGGCCTGGCCTCCCCGCAGGGGCAGCCGCTCACCCTGGCTCGGTCCAGCTCCTTGGCCTTGGCGTACAGGCTGTGGCCTGCGCTCAGCAAATTGAAAATGGGCTGGTGCCACACACTGTCCAGCAGGCGCTTGGAGAAGTTGCTGACGTAGTACCTCCTGAAGTCCCATGTGCTCAGGATCCGGGCCGGGATGCAGGTGTCTGCGTAGGTGTGGCAGCAGTCACAGAAATACTTGCCCAGGTAGTCACAGTACCGCAGGCGCCTCACGAACTCTGCAGGGCGCACAGGAGGCTGAGCGCAGGGCACCTCGGAGGGCAGCCTACCCACCGCTGTCCATTCCCCCTGCTTCCCAGTCCCACCTCCCCTCCCCGTCCCAGGTGCAAGGCTCAGATTGCTGGGTGTGCGCAGCTGACCCCATCACTCGACCTCACGGCAGCTGGGAAAGCTGGGGCAGCCACCCGAGGCCGTGGAGGATGGCCATGCGTGAGCTCTGCTTTCCAAAAACAGTTGTCAGAAAAAAAGAGAGAGAGAGAGAAATCTCCTAAAAATACTCCTGAATTTGGAAGAGGGGCACTGGAATAAACAACACTGTGGCCAAATGAGCACGAGATTTAGGGTCTAGAAATCTGGGGGGAGTCCACGCTCTGCCTCCTGTTGGCAGGCAGACTGAGGGCTGGTGGGAAACTCTTCAGGTTAACTATCCTGAAGCCATGAAAAGCAACCCAGAGTTAGATTATGGGATATCTCACACATGGGAAGGGCTTTGTAAATTATGAAGCACGCTTTGGAGGCTCTTAGGGAGGAGCACCCAAAGACCTCCTGCATAGACCGGTGAGGAAGACCTTATGGAAATGCGCGAGGGATGGGAACAGGCAATACAGGGAAACGTGGAATGCGGATGGCCGGTGACCACGTGAGAAACAGTCTCGGTAACAAAGACGTGCAGGTTATGAACTACTTGGTTTTGCATCAGACTGTCACCGTGGTAGAGGATCCGGAGCAGGTGAGGTGCAGAGGGGTGGGCGCCCCCTGCACCCGCCAGCTGACAGGAGGGCTACTTCCTAGGAGGACATTTACCCGTTATACTTCACCTCTTTGTTGTGTAGCAGGAATCCTACTTTTGTAACACTAGACAGAAACGCTAACGCACACACGGAGAGATCTAGAAGGGTGTTCCTACAGCACATTGATAACGCAGGAGGGGTAGCAATATAAATCTATGTTAAAGAAGCAACTGGCTAGGCAAGTGCACTCAGCAGTGGAACGCCAGAGAGCCCAGGAACGCGTGGGTGAGCGTGCGGAGTGGACATCCCGTGCCAGATCTGTACGATGTGATCTTGAGTTTGCTTTTGAAAACACACACATGCACAGTCCAAGAAGATCCCCACCACAAAGCCAATAGTGAAGACTTCTAAAGGGTGGGAGGAAGGATTTTCGTTCTTTGCATTTTTTTCGTTTGCTAAAACGGGCAAGCGCTGCTTTCGGAAATACATCTAACAAAATACGGTGGCAAGCAAAAGGTATAGAGACGAGTGCAACAAGTCCCTGGGTACCCACCACCCAGGTTAAGAAGAAGATAGCAATTCAGTTAAGTCTCCCGTGTGCCCTTCCCTCCCTCAACTCCTTCAACTCCTCTGTAAGTCCAAAAATATCTTAAAATAAAAGGTGAAAGGGTGCCTGGGTGGCTCAGTCAGTTAAGCGTCTGCCTTCAGCTCAGGTCATGATCAAGCCCCGCATCAGGCTCCCTGCTCAGGGCTCCATCCTGCTTCTCTCTCTGCTCTGCCCTTGCCTCTTGCTGGGGCTCTCTCTCTCTCAAATAAATAAATAAAATATTTTTTTAAAAAATTAAAAAAAAAAGTAGAGTCTAACTATATCCTAAGAACTACATAGGAAGTTGACAGGCAAAGTCCAAAACCGACGACACGGCTGATAACGCATCTACCACGTGTGCCCTGGGCGCCTGTGATGGCCTGCTTTCTCCTCTCCGGTCACACGGGACTTCTCTGAAATCGCTGCAGGCCCTTTCTTTGCTCATGGTGACCTCTACCCCCATAGCACACACACGCACATGCTTCTGGGCACGATCACTTCCCTACAGGACTTCTCACTCCCAGCCCCCCAAGCGCAGATTCAGTTCCCGTGCTGTCAATCCCACAGCACTCTGGACTTTCTCTTTCATCGCAAGCACCACCCTTGCTGTTCTCTTGGCTGATAACTATGCCTTCCAGTAAGCAAGTTCTACGAGGGGAGGCCCACGTTTATGCCACCAGTGCAGGCGTATGTCTCCATTGTTGAACCAACTTAGGGGAACACGTTAAGAGCTGATGGAGTCACGGTGACGTGTCCATAACTTCTGACTCATGCGCTCAGTCCTGTGCTCAACACGGAGGCACCGGGATACAGTGGTTAACCAAACAGGGTCCCTACTGGACTAGCTTGGGGGGGGGGGGATGAGTCATTTAAAGGAAACTGGTTTACAACTGTGATGAATGGCTAGAACTGCCATTCAGTGTGGTAGAAGGAATCCCAGACAGACTTCTGTTTTCTAGTTTTATTTCTCGAGGTGGAGTCCTCAAAGTCTTTTCCCTCCCATGACTTCCCATCAAAGGCCAAGGGAACCCTTTCCGGCAAAGCTCCTCTCCCCAGCTTTCCACAGGGCAGACCTGGGGATACCCTCACAAGCAGAACATGTGATTCCCAGTCTTCAGTGGGCAATTTGCATTTCTGACTGGAAGAAGTCTGATTTTCTAGGCCCCAGCTGACCCAGGAATGATTCCCCTCAAGCCACCTCCTCAAACCCTCTTGGAGGGGTTTGGGTAGCTCCTCCATAAGCCACGCAAACCTTCCACAGGTATCTTTTGAGGAACAGCTGTGTACCGGGTGCTGTTGTAAGAAGCGGGGGATAAAGCAATGAATAAAGCAGACAACACGTCTGTCCCATGGAACTTAGAGTCTAGATAGGGACACAGGCCAACAATGAGAAAAATCAGTAAAATCTAAGAGTATTTTAGGAAGAGAAGCACAAAGGAAGAAGGAAGGGTAAAGTGTATGTTTGTGGCCAGGAGTGTGGCAAGGTTGACGTTTTCAATATGGGAGCCAGAGGAAGCCTCCTAACTTTTGAGAGAAGAGTGAAGTAAGGGAAGTCATTCTAGGGAGAGAAAACCACGAATGCAAATCCCTAAGTCAGGAGTGAGCCTGCCTCCTTCGAGGACCAGCAGGGAGGCCACTGGCTGGGGCCGAGGGCCCAATGAGGAGAGGACTAGGGGATAAAGCCAAGGGCACCAGGTCAGCACGCAGCCCTGATAGGTCAACGTGGCCTCTTCAAGAAAGAAAGGGCAACATCATCAAGTCCTTGTAACAACTTCGTCCACAAAAGCAATGCACGCTCCGACTGGGCTCTTCTTCGCCCTGTCGCCACATACTAGGCAGGGAAGCCACTGTCCGTACTTACTGGGTTCTACCGGCGTGCCACAGCCAGCACACAGAAAGTTCTGGGCTGCTACCACGAGATCCCTCCTGAGTACAGAAAACAGTAAGTTACATTTCAGAAATAGCCAAGGGAGCATTTTTCACTGACTGGATAGGACATTGACATCAAGCTCTTCCCGGCTTGGGGCCTTTTTTTTTTTTTTTTTTTGTCATTTTTCATTATAGGATTCTTCAATAGAGTTTTCTAGTTGAGATCTCTGGGTCTTTTAAGTTATTTTTTATTTATTTTATTTTATTATTTTTTTTCTATTTTTGTTATGTTGGGGGGGGATCTCTGGGTTTGTTTTTTGTTTTTGTTGTTTTGTTTTGTTTTTCTGATCTCTGGGTCTTTTAAAAACGTCTGCTACCAGCCAAGCAGAAGTTGGTATCATGAATAACTCTTCCACCACGGGATCTTTAGAGACTGCTCAATACACGGGCACAGGAGCCCCGCCAGAGAGAACCGGAGACCCGTAACTCATGGGAGAAAGTTCAGGAAGACCAAACACCAAGAGGTGATGCACTAGGGAAGTTCACAAATGGATCCAAAGAAATCTGGAGGTCGGGTAAGACGTAAGCATCAAACATCTCCGTTGAGCAACAGTCTACTGACGTGTTTTCTACTGGACTGTTTGATGCCACAACTTCACATGTGATTTGGAAATACGAAGGTGGTCGTAAAGTTTTATTATAGTTTAGGATCAGCCAAAATGACCCAGGTAAAAATATGTGGAACCCTACCCGTATCCCTTAGAGATGACGTAGGAAGTTCTAGAGAATAAAGACACCCCTTGCTAAGGAAAGTGATCCCTCGCAAAGCCTAGGGAAGGAGCTCTCCCGCCCAAGCACCCCAGAGGCCTTCAAGGTGTTCTCTCAAAAGAAAAACGTAGGGGGCAGCCCAGGGGGCTCAGCGGTTTAGGACTGTCTTCGGCCCAGGGCCTAATCCTGGAGACCCGGGATCGAGTCCCATGTCGGGCTCCCTGCATGGAGCCTGCTTCTCCCTGCCTGTGTCTCTGCCTCTTTCTCTGTGTCTTTCATGGATAAATAAATAAAAAATCCAAAACAAAATTAAAAAAAATGCAGGACAGAGCTTATGAGGCACTTCCGTGGGTCACAGGCAGTCACCATCGCCAGTCCCTTCTTTACGCTGCAGTGTGGGTGCCACATTAAATACAACCCAAGAGGAATGGAGAAACTGCAGCTGGTTAAAATGTCCCCTTATAATGTCATATACTCTCAGAGACAAATAAAACAAACTAGTACCTTAAATAATTACATATTGTATTTATATAAATACATCTATAAAAATGAGTTTATTTCTTTTTCTTTCGCAACCTCTTTGTCGTTTGTCTTTTAGGATTTGGTTACTTCTTAGAGAACAAATTTTTTTTGTTTGTTTGTTTTTGTTTTTGCATTCTGTGTCATTTCTTAACTATAGGAGCTCTCCTCAAGATTAGATTTTCCCTTAAAAAATGTATCCATTGGGGTTTTTAAAATTTTTTTTAAATTTTTAAAAAATGTTTATTTTATTTATTTATTTATTTATCTATTTATTTATTTATTATTTAATTTATTTTTTATTTATTTATTTATTTATTTTTTATCCATCGGTTTTTATTTCACATTGCACTGGTGAAAAGAGCCATCTTTTAAAATTCTTGTATATGAGTTTTAAGGTCCCATATTAGCCCCTTAAAAAAAAATCCCCACTTGAACTTATTTAATTTTCAATTGCTATGTAACATACATGATGCAGGACACAGTTAAATTCTCAACTTGTCCAACTACGGAGCCCAAACCCTCACCCCACCCCCAAAACCCATGATAAACAGGGTGCTAAGAAGCTGACTCAGATAAATATGCCCAACTTGCCTTTTCCTAAAACAAACTTTCCTTCATCCCTTGGTGTGTAATTTTCTTCCCTTTACCTCCTTCCACGGGGAGGTGGGACCCATCACACCTTGTCACCCGGCCTGGAGGCCCAAGCAGCAGCCCCACTTACTTGAGTGGTGGATGAACATCAAATATGATTTGAAATCGGGGGGGCTCCCAGTCTTCAGCCTCTCTGATCTTCGACTGAAGTTTAATTTCCTGAACCACATCCACACTGGATTCAAAGTCTTTCCGGACGCGCTCTTCATTTACAACCTGTGTGCAACACAGAGGAGGATTTCAGAGCGTGTACCTGAACGAGCATATTTCAGGAACTGAAAGAAAAAGAGCATCCAACTGTGTCTCCAGCATTAAGATTCACCATGAAAAATTAAAACTGCCCTCCACTGAACGAGAGGAGCCCTCCCCGTCCCTGAAGCCGTCTGCAGGATTGCTGGCTGGAACACCACCTGGCTGAGATCACTTTTCTTATTTTGGGGGAGTTCATTTCTTTCCAGACTTGGAGTTACTGTAAGTAGGTCACTGGGACCTGGAATGCTTTGATTTCCCAGCAGGAGCCTCACCGCTCTTGGTGGACAGACTGACAGATGCTGCCAACCGGACCCCCAGCTGTTGTCAGACTTCCCCAGAAACAGCTCTTTTAAGCCCCTTCCCCTGCTTAACAACATCCAGTGGCTCCCAACTGAACCATTCAATTCTCCTGCAAGAATTTAAAATGCAAACTCCAGCAGATCCCCGAGTGGCTCAGTGGTTGACCATCTGCCTTCGGCTCAGGGCGTGATCCTGGGGTCCCGGGATCGAGTCCCGGGATCGAGTCTCACATCAGGTTCCCCACATGGAGCCTGCTTCTCCCTCTGCCTGTGTCTCTGCCTCTCTCTGTGTGTCTCCCATAAATAAATAAAATATTTTGTTAAAAATAAAATAAAATGGGGATCCCTGGGTGGCGCAGCGGTTTGGCGCCTGCCTTTGGCTCAGGGCGCGATCCTGGAGACCCGGGATCGAATCCCATATCGGGCTCCCGGTGCATGGAGCCTGCTTCTCCCTCTGCCTATGTCTCTGCCTCTCTCTCTCTCTCTGTGACTATCATAAATAAAAAAATTAAAAATAAATTAAAAATAAAATAAAATAAAATGCAAACTCCTCGAATTAGCATTTTATGTCCTCCACAATTTGACCATCTTCAAACCCAACCTCCCAGGAAGATCAACACCCCTCACCCCAACACAGATACACACAAACACATGTCACCCCCACACCAAGCCGCCCTGCTCAACAAATAACGCCAGGTGCCCTCCTCCCCGTCACTTTTGCCCCAGCTGCCCTTAGCCAAGATCCTCGTCCACGTGTTTCTACCTGCTACCATTTCTCAAGTCCTGAGATCTCCAGTTGGCCTTCCCAAGTCCCCCGAGAAAATGAAACAGTCCTCTTCTGCAACGTGCAGAGTGCTTTTCTCCTACCCCAGTCTTGGCTTTGCTGTGAAGTCCTCTCCCCACGGTGGGCTCCCCGCTGTCAGGGGGTAGCGGGGGGGAGCTCCTGCTCTTCCCCTGACCAGGCCCCCCCAGGTGCTGGGACTAACGCTCTAGCATCTACTCAGTAGGATATTTGTGAGAAAGAAAATGCAAAATGCTGAATTCTCGGGGGGAATAATCCACCCTCAATAAATGCCAGATCCATCCATCTGTTCCTGTCTCCCCCAACACCCGGTGACCAAACAGGGAAACGCATAAATGTCTGAAGGGAACAGCAGGCAAAATGAGAACTTAGGAACTTTCGATTCAAGGCCCATTTATTTTGATACTTACTATGGAGCCAGCAGCATTGGGAGAACCTTCCAGCTGATGATGAACTTCTGACCACATCCAGCACTTCTGGAATACTCGGTACAGCTCTTTGGCTAATAGCTCAGCGGAATTGAAGTCTGGCTCATAAACGATACTGAAAGGTAAGGGATGCAGAAAGTGGAAAACTATATTCGCGAGGAGTATGTTATGGGTCTTCAGGTTTTCAACTCTCTTTCCCGCTCCAAAAACTCGGAAGGGGTGTCACATGAGGCAGCATGCACCAACCATCCACTGGTTGTCTTACTCAACACAATTGCCCCGTGCTCAACAGAGCAGCTTTCATTTAGGTATTGAGGGTACCAAGACTGGGAAATGTGGTAAGAAGAGCACTGGATTTGGAGCCTTCGGCCTTGAATTCAAGTCCCACCTCTGCTCATTTAGCAGCACTGTGTCCTGAGGCACATTTAATCTGAGCCTCAGTTTCCACACTTATAAAATGGGAGTTAACCCCCAACCCCCCCCCCCGCCTGATTAAATGAGAATGTATATAAAGGCCTTTTAAGCTCTGTAAAAATTATAGCGGTGATTGTTCCATTGCTAAAGAGCAATCCCTGTCATCGGAACTGGCTGAACTCGGTCTGAGATGTCAGAGGTTGGGCATTCACAGTGCCTCAGAGGTCACGGCCCAGGGGTCCCGGCCCAGGTGGACACGGGAGAGAGATACCTCTTGGAAGAGCTGCAGGAGCATCCACAGGTTTCTGTGATATTGCTAAACTCACCAAGCTCTGCAAGCAAATAGAAGAAAGGGTATTAAAATCTTTCAGTCTGTTTCACTTACTCATACTCGATTTTGTAAGACTACAAAAATAGATCCCTGCACCGCAGAAAGAACGAGTTACTCAGCATCTCCATACTTCAGGTTCTTTGGGTTTCTATTATGAGAAAGTATAGCTAATGACCGAAGATGGCATTTCAAAATACACCCTCCCGGAATTCCACCCAAACGTAACTGAGAGGCCAGACAGATCTCAGACTACAAGGAGTATCTGCTTTTTTTTTTTTTTAGTATCTGCTTTTGTGTTCAATTCTGTTAAGTGAGATGAAAGATCGATTGTCGAGACATTTGAAATAGGAAGGACACCTTTTTTTTTTCTTAAATCAGGGACATAATCTGATCCTGGGAGAAGTTCCTTTGAAAGCCACTATAATGTGGGATGCCATGTGATGCGCGTCAACACGTGTGTGTGTGTGTAGCAGGAGGTGGGGGGGGTTACAAGTCATAGCTGGTGAGTTTCCAAATCTTACCTACGACAACAAAGTCATCAAAGTCACATTTACAGGCTTCTTTGAGAACGTCACCGTAAGTGGGTGTCCCAGCCACCGGACTGCCCTGTAACACAGCACAACCTAGAACAAGAGAGGAAGGGGGTTCCATCAACAAGAAAAAAAAAAAAAAAAGAAAAACTGTACCACCTGTCACATCCAACTAACCAGAAACTGGGGAATAAAATGGGCCAAGAGTTTACTTTCAAAGAGTTTTAAAACCCAGTTTTGAGAATTCAAAAATGCAGGGAGCTATTTTTGTGTTGTTCTTACATTCGCTGTGATTAAGTGAAACAGATGGATGAGGATCTGTGACGAGGAGCCCTTCAGAAGAGTGAGCGGCCTGCTTTTAGGCGTGTTTGAAATTTTCCATGATACGAAGTTTAAAAAAGAATGAAAGAGGGTAAAAAATCAGCCTCACGGTGAGGCAAAGGGTAGAGGCGACATAGAGGGTTGAAGAGTGTCCTCCCGAAATTCATATCCACCCAGAGCCTGTGCATGTGACCTTATGTGGAATTAGCCCCTTGGCAGAGGTGATCGTGTTGAGCTGAGGTCATACTGGATGAGGGTGGGCCCTAAATCCAACATGACTGGTTAGATTAGAAAGAGAGAATTATGAAAAGAGGGAAATTTGGACACAGACACTGATCTCCGGAGAGAAGGCTCTGTGAGATGGAGGCAGAGACGGGAGTGACACGTCTATAAGCCTAGGATGCCCAACGACCATGGGCAACCACCCGAAGCCAGGAGAGCCATGGGACGGGTTCTCCCTCAGAGCCTCCAGAAGGAACCAACCCCTCCAACAACTTCATTGCTGACTTCTGGACTCTCCAAGTGAGAGAAGATACATTTTCTGTTGTTTTCAGCCACCTGGTTTGTGGTATTTTGCTACAGCAACCCTAGGAAACTACTTCCAATACATCTAGGCTTTTCTATCCCAAATGCTAGTCTTGGAATTTATCCTAAGAATATCATTAAAAAGAAAATTAAGGGACGCCCGTGTGGCTTAGCGGTTTAGCGCCGCCTTCAGCCCAGGTAGTGATCCTGGAGACGATGGATCAAGTCCCACGTCAGGCTCCCTGCATGGAGCCTGCTTCTCCCTCTGCCTGTGTCTCTGCCTCTCTCTCTCTCTGTCTCTATGAATAAATAAATAAAATCTTAAAAAAAAGAAAAGAAAGTTAAAAAGGTGAAAAAAGTGGGCTTTGATCGTAAAGGAACTATTGGCAGTCCATTTAAATATTAAAATATGGAAAGCCACCTACGTGCCAAATATTGGTAAGTTAATTTTGCAAATCACGTTATTAACTCAAGAAACACCATCGTGGGAAAAATGTGAAAACCGTAGCAACTTGGAAAACTGGATATGAAATAGTGTTAAAATGATATGATCATATTATTAATGGAATTACAGTAATACGAGTACATAATCACTGTGAAACTGTACTCACATGATTAAGTTTAAGAGAAAAACACACACACACACAAAAAACACACACAAAAAAAATAAAAATAAATAAAAAATAAAAAAAAAGAGAGAAAAACACAGAGAAGTGGATACAGTCGTTTAGGGAAATATTCTAGGCCACAGATTACACGAATGGGCTTCAGAAGGGACTGGCCAGGGTTTAAAACAGCACTGCCTGGGTGGTGCGGTCAGTTAAGTGTCTGACTCGATCCTTGGATCCAGCTCAGGCCATGATCTCAGGGTCCTGGGTTCGAGCCCCGTGTCTGGCTCCGTGTGCTCAGTGCGGGGTCGGCTTGGGGTTCTCTCTCCCTCTCTCTCTCTGCCCCTCCTACTCATGCTCTCTCTCTCTCTCTTTCTAAGATAAATAGAGAAATCTTAAAAAAAAAAAAATTAAAAAAAAAAAACCCACCACCACACTGCCCCATCCTAGCGAGGTGACCATGGACAATCAACTTCTCAACACTGATTTTCTCCCGGGCAAAACAGGGGCAACGTCACCCTACCTGTGTGTTCCCCACACTCTTTTGACCGTGATCCACAGGACCATGCATTGACATTGCAACTCAGTACAAACACAAAAATATATTTCACCGATTAAACAAACAAACAAAAAAGTTCCAGGACACATTGCCTCCTCTAGGTGAGGTGAATGCTGACACTTTCCATTCTTTTTTTCATTCGTTTTCAAATGCTCTCAAGACCACCTTGCAACTTGAAGTATGCTGACCTACCCCAGAGGAGAAAAGCTACTACTAAAAAGCTAATGTCCAAAGAGAGAGACTTAATAAAAGATGCATATTTTTTTATTGGGGCAATAGAAATATTTTTGAGATTTCATTTAACATATTTATATTCATATTTAAAATATTCAGAGGCACCTGGGTGGCTCAGTGGGTTAAGCATCTGCCTTCAGCTCAGGTCACGATCCCGGGGTCCTGGGATGGAGCCCCCCCGGCCCCCCGTCAGGCTCCCAGCTCGGCTGGGAGTCTGCTACTCCCTCTCCCTCTGCCTGCCGCTCTCCCTGCTTATTTATGCTCTGTCTCTCTCAAGTAAATGAAATCTTACAAAAAAAAATAAATAAACTCAGCTAGCATTTCAAGAAATATTTATAAAATACCATCTCAGGCAAGGTACTACTGTGCGGAAGGGAAATTCAAATGGGAACAAATACTTGTCCATCCAAGAACTTAACACCTTGTAAGGGAGCTGAGACCCCGACGCACATCACCCACTGTCAGAAACAGAGGTGCGTGCCATGGGCCTTCAGAAGGCCGGGCGGCTCCACCTTGCACAACTCCAGGGGGCGGTGGGGCGCACACACAGACAATCATAGAGCATTGTGGAGCACAACCTTCGCTTAATTTCACATGAATGGTGCCCCTGTCTTGTGATGCGAATCTGGGAGCCTGTCTCGGTGCTGGTGGCAGGAGACTGCTTTCAAAGAATGGGGAGAATGAAGGAACTCATGTGAAGTTCCCGGGGCCCCAGCATTCCAGGGAGTCTAGCCAAAGCAGAGGGTGGGGGGCAGAGGCTCGTCTGCAGGCAAGTTTACCAGACTAGGGTATCTGAAGCCCATGTACAACCTGGGGAAATCAGGAGATGCCCGTTGGAAAGCTGCAGCCCGCAGGCCTAAAAGTCCCAGGATAAAACGTGGCACAAACTCGACAGGCCATTTGAGAGGCACGGAAGCTGTTCTAGGAGGACAGATGTGTGTGGGATCAATGAAAGGAGAGAGGCCGCAAGTCGAGAGAAAAATTAAAGGCAGCAAATGCATCGTGAGGACCTGAATGCACTTCTTGCAGAATGACCGACTGGAGGCTGCGGCGATGGTGCAGCTCAAGGACAGGAACAGGGACCGGAGGGAGGGGATGTCACCATTACTGAGAAATCAGGGCTGATGTGTTCACTAGAAATGGGGCCAGGACACAGGCCAACCCCCCACCCCCCAAAAAGAGTTAAAGATAAGAGCGCAGAACTAGCAGGTGCTCTCTATGTTCATGCCCTGGGAGATGTTCTCCACGGCAGGTGCTCCTCCCTGGGACCTAGACCTGGGGTCCTGTGCGCCTGGGTTGGGCTGCGCAGCCCTGGCCGGGCGCTCAGGAGGACTGCAGAGCTGCAGAGCCCAGGCCAGATGCTGCGGAGCGTGGAGGGCATGGGGAGAGGAAGTCAGGCTGCAGGAAAGGAGAATGAAGTCATTGCACAAGGCGAAAGAGGCCACAAAGCCCCAGAAAGGGCAGGTCCTCTACACTGGTCAGCCCTGTGTTTCCCACCACTGGGTTGGGTGAGGATGCTCTGTATCCTGTAAATAAACAAAACAAAACAAAACAAAACTTTCTGGGATGCTTGGGTGGCCCAGCGGTTTAGAGTCTGCCTTCAGCTCAGGACATAGTCCCGGAGTCCTGGGATCGAATCCCACATCGGGCTCCCTGCATGGAGCCTGCTCCTCCCTCTGCCTGTGTCTCTCTCTCTCTCTCTGTGCGTCTCTCATGAATAAATAAATAAAATCTTTAAAAATGAATAAAAATAAATAAAAATAAAATAAAACGAACTTCCCTTTCACTCTGAGCTAGGTAGTGCATTCAACAGCCAGCTATTGTGCATGGATTTGGTGCCAGGCGTCGTGCTCCACGGTGGGAGCTGGAGTGAGTTCTCCCCTCATTACTGAGAAGCTTCTGAGGAAGACGCTTGGTCAAGGAAGCCAAGAGGAAAAGCAAACTTTAGTTTTTCATCTTTTTTCTTTTGGAAAGAAAGGGGTTGGGAGGGAGGAACAGATGACTAGTTGAGACAATGTTAAGTTCGTTGGTTACTGCCTGCCAACCAGGTAAACGTGGCGAGCAGGTCCTCGCCACGTGGAACAAGCACTTGTTAGGAGACGGGCAGGAGGGGAAACAGATTTGGGAGGTTCCAAGGGAGACGGAATCCTGGGCAGACACCCCGGTGCAGAACATCTCCCGGGACGTGAGTACAGACGAAGCTCCAAGGGCCAGAGCAGGGCTTCCACTTAGGAAGGGCAAATGCTACCTGCAGTTCTCAGCTTAGGGACCCTATCTTCCAGGAGGGACTCCCCGGTTCCCAGGATGAAGCCCGCTCCTCCCACTCTGGGGACTACAGTGGGGGGGGGCTGCCTCTGCTACCCTGGGGACCCCATATGGCGTCCTCAGCCTCCACTCCTGCAGCCCCACAGGGATGCTCCTGCAAGGAAGGAGCACGGTGTGTTGCCCCCATTGATACCCATCACCCAGCCCCTTGGGCTCCTGGTTTGTGGGATGAAGGACAGAGGAGTCCTCGGGAAAAGAAGCAATGGGTGAGAAGAGCTGGGGGACGGCCAGGTGACAGAAAACAGAGGAACAGGGAAACCATCAGCCACTGCCAAGGAGAAAGTACGATGGAGTCGAAGGGGGAAAAAACAAAACCCAAACCAAACACATTGATGTACCAACCGAGTGGAACATGATGACAACCAAGGCCAAATCCCAAAGGCAAAAATGGTGAGGATAATGGTTATCCAGGACCTTTTAGACAAAGGATATGAAGATCTACTTTGGGACATGCCCGGAAAAGAGACGTAAGCACAGAACACAGCATAGAGTTCCCCTGATTTGCCCCCACTTGCCTTCATAGCCGCTGTCAGAAGAGTTGGAAGACCCAGATCCTTGCTTCATGTTGCTATAGAAGTTCGTCTCAGCATCAGCGTGACCACTGCCGGGTGCCCCCCTGGCCTCTTCCTCACCCCAGGGGTCTGGGTGCTGCTGACTCAGGATGGCATACTTGATCTTCTCCATTGCCGCTATAATCATATCCGCAACGTAGAAGTGGGCGTTTTCCTGCAGGAAAAAAGAAAAGTATCAGTTAAAATACTCACAAGCGTGATCTCCTGTTTTCCACGGAGGGTGTATTGGGTTGAAAAATCAAGAGGCTACATCTAAGTGGAGCCAATGCACGGAAACAGAAATGTCCATTTACCTGAGGGACCACAGGTCATCATAGGAAGGACGGCCCATATCTTCCAGACACACACAGTTTAGCCCCCTGCGACCAACAGACAGCCCACGCTGGATTTCTCATGATGGAAAATGACCCCCGGGGTTGGCAGTGGCCCGGGGGGTAGACGACAGTCATGGAAACCTGCCCCGCTGAGCGCACTGACTCAGAGCCTGCCTTAGCTTATGCTCCTGTCAAAGGCTGGAAGGAAACCTACGTGCCACGCTTCATCAAGTGAAGTTTCCAGATTTAAATCAGAACAGTACCATCTATGGAATTAACACCCTCTGTGGTTAAAAAAAAAAGGAAAAAGAAAAGAAGAAAGAAAGATGTGTTCACCTTTTCAACATCGACAGGGAGCAGGAATGCTTCTGGTGAGAAGGGATTCAAGGTTCTTCCACTGACTTGCACAGCACCTGCCAAGGCAGCAAGTTATTAAAAATGGATAAAAAGAAGTTCAAAGAATCCTGAGAAAACCAAACAATTGTAGGCAATGGTCTTTGAAAAAAAATTTTTTTAATGAGCACAATTCAGGAATAAATTAGGATGCCAGAAGAAGACAGATCCTTCTGGTGGTTGGTGGTAGGCATCGCAGATACTGCCTGAACAATGATCCCAGCACCCAGGGATCATTTCTAGCCTCTTGGAGCAACTTGGAGGGACTCTTCAGAGAAGGGATGGGAGATGGAGGAGACCCATGAGGAGGCCAAGAGGGTAGAAAGAGAAGAGGATCGTGGAAACTCCCTACACGAGGTGGAGAAGGGCAAGAAGGAACAGCCTAGAAGCAGGGCCCTAAGGGTCATGGGATCCCTCCTCCCGGGCGCTGCACCGGACCCGAAACTTCTTGTTTAGGGAGACAAGTCTGTCTGCAAAAGGCCCGCGTGAAGTGCTTCTCTAAAATGTTCTTCCTCCAGCCCAAAGCAAGAAGAAACCGCAGAGGGTATGTCCAGCTGACTCCCGCGCTCTGCACCCCGAAACCGCTCCCTTCCTGGCAGCCAAGACCATGGAGACAAAAACGCCCCCAAACAAAAATGCCCACTGCCGTGTGTGATTTCTTCTTGCAGGTGTCAGGCAACAGGCTCCTGCGAGCGCCCGAGGGCTGAGCTGCTCCAACCCGCTCCCTGGGACCAAAACACTGCAGGTGGCTCGTGGATGATGTGGATGATGCAGCTCTCAGGGCGAGCAGCAGAGGGGCCAGCTGGATCCCCTGGCCCTGGCCCTGGCTTCAAGACAGTGACCGTCCCCCCCAGACCCTGCACCTCTGGGCTGCAGAATCCGCGTGGGGTGGGTACACTTCTCCCGAGAAGGACTCCGTAGCCACCAGTATAGGACCTGAGTGAGGTCCACCTGTTGCCGCCACGCAGTTCTGTCCTGAGGGTGACAAGCAGCTACAGCGACACAAAGCTTGTATTTGTCAGATCAGGGGACTGGCTGGCTTGGGCCCGCAGGCCATGGGCTTTGGACCCTGAGCAGAGAAGGAAAAAGGGACCGAGAAGATGCCAACAGGGTGGACACCAGCCGGTCCGGCCTCTGCACTAAAAGGTCCTCACCCCTTAAACTGGATAGTTCCCAATTAGGAGGTTGGAGGAGACTGGGAATGGGAATGGGCACCTCTGCAAACGCCAGGAACTGTGGCAAAGTGTCCTCGGGCCTCGGGAAACACTTCTCGACTGGGGGAGCTGGTGGGGGGTCTTGCTCTATCATATTTTCTAGAAAAGGACTAACCCTGCTGCTGTCGTTGGTGACCCAGTGAGGAAAATGGGGGGAAATTCTGTATCCTAGTACAAAAGGCCTGCTCTCGGCATTGCTGTCCCGCAACAAAGACCAGACCGTCGGGGACTTCCTTTTTGTTTTTGTTTTTTTTTAATCCCATGGGCTGAATCCCCCTACCAAGTTTGACATGGAGTGATTTTTTTTTTTTAAGGTACTTAGAGAAGTTGCTGGGGGTTACGTCTTGGGACAAAAGGGGCTGTAGTACGACCAAGCTACAGGAGAATTTTAAATCGCAGAATTACTAGCTGTAGAGTGTGGCATTTTGCTAAAAAAAAAAAATTTTTTTAAATTTATTTGAGAGAGAGTGAGAGAGAAGAGAGAGGGAGCAGGGGTAGGGGGAGGAGCAGAGGGAGAGGCAGGAGCAGGCTCCCAGCTCCCAGCTCAGCGGGAGCCCAATACCAGGCTCGATCCCATCACCCAGGGATCATGACCTGCACTGAAGACAGACATTTAACCAACCCACTGAGCCACCCAGGCAGGTGCCCCTCAGATTTGGTTCTTATTTCAAAATTAGCCCATTTTAAGATTGTCCACAATCCACCAGCCTTAAGTGATGAATAACATGTTACAGGCTGTCCTCGGGGATCCCTGGGTGGCTCAGCGGTTTAGCGCGTGCCTTTGGCCCAGGGTGCGATCCTGGGGTCCCAGGATCGAGTCCTGCTCTGGTTCCCTGCATGGAGCCTGCTTCTCCCTCTGCCTGTGTCTCTGCCTCTCTCTCTCTCTCTCTCTATGTCTATCATGAACAAATAAATAAATAAATCTTTAAAAAATAAAAAAAGGCTGTCCTCATCTTGGACTATTCAGAAGTTTTCCCCATCGAACAAAAAACCCCTCCTATTTTAGGAAAGGGGTAGGGCTGGTTCTCGCTAGTGAGAAATACTAAATACAGCCAGACACACACCCAGGCAGCTCTCAAACTGGTTTGAAAGACAAAAAACTTCGTTGACAATCCAAGCTAGGGTTCCAAGAGAAACACTAAGGCAGTGTGGATGGCACATTTTGTTAAGAATTAGAAAGAAGGTCGCGAGGCAGCCCAGGGGGCTCAGAGGTTTAGAGCTGCCTTAGGCCCGGGTTGTGACTCTGGGGTCCCAGATTGAGTCCCGCATCCGGCTCCCTGCATGGAGCCTGCTTCTCTCTCTCTCTCTCATTAATAAATAAATAAAATCTTAAAAAAAAAAAAAGGCCTCTGACGCCTGGAGGGCTCAGCGGTTGAGTGCCTGGCCTTCTGCCCAGGGCGTGACCCCCGGGGTCCCGGGATCGAGTCCCACATCGGGCTCCCTGCATGGAGCCTGCTTCTCCCTCTGCCTGTGTCTCTGCCTCTCTCTCTCTGTGTCTCTCATGAATAAATAAATAAAATCTTTAAAAAGAATCAGAAGGCCACGAATCACAAGAGCAGCGGACGATTTACTGACTCTTTGGTGCCTTCTCTTAGGGATTCCAGGGGTTGTGTTTTGCTGTTTTGTTTGTTTCTTTGTTTAGGAGACCCGAGCCTCCATCCACAGCAGTGCGAGGGCCCCCGGCTTTAACGACGCAGGTCTCCCACAGTCTTTGGGGGGGGGGGGAATCGCGATTTGGGTTTTTTGGGGGTTTCTGATTTTGCAGTCTCATGGCTTCGGGCCCAGGGCCGCAGGACGGGGGGGGGGGAGCCTCGCGTCCATCCCAGGGCCGCAGTGCCCCAAGCCCCGCGGGCCCACGCGGCCCGGTCACCCCGCAGTCACCCAGCAGGCGGGGCAGGGGCACCTCCTGGGGCGCACCCCCCCCCAGGGGATGCACCTGCCGCGGGGGGCCCGGGGGTACCCAGGAGCCACGTACCTTCCCGCGTGGGCCGGGGCGCAGGCGGGGCACAGCCCCTCTCAGGGCGCCCCCTCACCCCCCAACCCCCAGGGGATGCACCGGCCGCGGGGGGCCCGGGCGTACCCAGGAGCCTCGTACCTTCCTGCGCTGGAGGCCGCAGAGCAGCGCTCCCCTCAGGCCGGGGCGCAGGTCCGGCACAGGCACCTCCCGGGGCGCCCCTCCCCCCCACCCCCAGGGATGCACCTGCCGCGGGCCCGGGCTGCACCCAGGAGCCTCGTACCTTCCCGCACGGGAGGCCGCGGAGCAGCACCGCCCTCGGGCCGGGGCGCAGGCGGGGCACAGCACCTCTCGGGGCGCCCCCCGCTCCCCCAGGATGCACCTGCCGCGGGCCCGGGCCGCACCCAGGAGCCTCGTACCTTCCCGCGCGGGCCAGGGCGCAGGCGGGGCACAGGCACCTCCCGGGGCGCGCGCACCCCCCCCCCCCCCGGGATGCACCTGCCGCAGGGCCGTACCCAGGAGGCTCGTACCTTCCTGTGCTGGAGGCTGCAGAGCAGCGCTCCCCTCAGGCCGGGGCGCAGGTCGGGCACAGGCACCTCCCGGGGCGCCCCTCCCCCCCACCCCCAGGGATGCACCTGCCGCGGGGGGGCCCGGGCCGCACCCAGGAGCCTCGTACCTTCCCGCGCGGGCCAGGGCGCAGGCGGGGCACGGGCACCTCCCGGGGCGCACCCCCCCCCCCCCCGGGATGCACCTGCCGCAGGGCCGTACCCAGGAGGCTCGTACCTTCCTGTGCTGGAGGCGGCGGAGCAGCGCCGCCCTGGGTCCGCGGCGCAGGCGGGGCGGGGGGCAGCTCCCGGGGCTCCGGGCCCCCCTTGCCCCGGGGACAGGCCGGCCGGCGCCCCGGGGCCCCCGCGGAGGGCGAGTCCGGCCCCGGGCGCTGCGCGGGCGGCGGCTGCACCCAGGCGGCCCTGTGCCTCCGCAGCCGGGCGTCGGGCGCGCAGCGGGGCCGCTCGGGGTGCGGGGAGCTGCGCGGGCCTTCCGGGTCGCCGGGGCCCCTGCCGGCCCTCCCGCGGGCGTCCCCGGGGGCCTCGGGCCGGCCCGCCGACTGGGACACCATCTCCCGGGCTCGGGGCTGCAGGTGTCAGCGCCGCCGCGGGGCTAGTGGACTCGGGCCTCGAACTCGCCACGCGGCCGGCGGGCCGGGGCCGGGCAGCAGCGAACCTGCGAGGGGCAACAAACAAGAAATGGTTGGACACGCAGAGGACGGCAGTCATGTGCTTCACTCCAAATCTTGGGAGGAAAAGAAACAAAAAACACACAGGTTTGTACTTGACAATGCACAACACAGTGAATTCCCCTTGGACTTCCAAGACGTAGGTAAACGCATCAATCAATCAATCAATCAATCAATCAGCAATAAAACTAGCAGCCAACACAGGAGGCCAGACACTGGGATAGAACGAGGTTTTTTTTGATCTTTTTTTTTTTTTTTAAAGATTTCACTCATTTATTTATGAGAAACCCAGAGAGAGAGAGAGAGAGGCAGAGACACAGGTGTAGGGAGAAGCAGGCTCCATGCAGGGATCCCAATGGGGAACTTGATCCCGGGTCTCCAGGATCACACCCTGGGCTGAAGGCGGCGCCAAACTGCTGCGCCACCCGGGGATGCCCAGGAATGGGTTTTCAAGGCCTAAAGATAATAATGGAAGTTTGCAGGATAGAGTCATAGACGCGTACAGCTGATGAAACAAGCCGTGCTTTCTTCCAATAAAACTGAAGGTCAAACCCCAAATGGGAATACCATTTGGAAGTAAAGGTGCGCTTTCATCATTTCTTGCTTTTATTTAGTCTGCGTGTGTATTCCTTTTCTTTTTAAAAGATTTGATTTATTCATTCATGAGAGACACAGAGAGGCAGAGGCACAGGCCGAGGGAGGAGCAGGTCCCCCGCTCCGCTGGGAGCCGCATGCAGGACTGGATCCCAGGAGCCCAGGGTCACGCCCTAAGCTGAAGGCAGACGCTCAACCGCTGAGCCACCCGGGCGTCCCTGTGTGTGTCCATTTCAACAAAGTAGACCGGAGGCATGTGAAACAGGACAACCATTAGCCCTAAAAGTTTGTTTTACGTAACTGAGATTACAATACTGAGTTACAGCAGCAAGAGCAATTGGTAACTAGCTTTTCATAGCTCAAAAACACACTGTGAATCTAGACTCTCTATCTCCACTCCGGGCATGGAGCCTGACCCAGGGTTCGAGTTCACAACCCCGAGATCCTGATCTGAGCTGAAATCAGGAGTCGGCTGCCTAACCGACTGAGCCACCCGGGCATCCCAGTTTGCTCGCTATTAAAAGCTTAGTGTTTAGCTCTAGAAAAGAAAAGTCCTGATGAAAAGGTCGAGAGCTACTCAAAGGAGGAGCACTCCGGTCACCAAAGGAGGAGCACTCCGGTCACCGGGTCACCATAGTCACAGGCCCAGCATGTGTCTCTCCACAGCTCCCACCCAAGCAACTGGGAACAGCAAAAAAAAGGTCCGAGGGAGAAGGTCCAGAGATGCAAGCAGTCGGCTTAGGTGAGCGGAGCGCCACGGAAGGGTGGGAGCACAGCCACAGGGTGGTGAGCTGAGACTTTGCAGTCAGTCCCAGGGCTTTAACTACTCCCATTATGTATACAGGGGCTCCCCGCCCCCTATCCCTACTCAGGCCTCCCCTGGGACCTCCGGCTGGCGTACCCTGCTGCCTCTCCGACACTCATCCAGGGGATACCACGAACTAACACATTCAAGCAGACTCTCATTTCCCCCAAAGCCAGTGCTCCCTGGTCTTCCCATCTCAGGAAACACACCTGCCAGCTGCTGAAGCCCAAACTCTGGAAGTCTCTGATCCCACCTGTCCCTAGCGCTCTCTCTCTCTAATCCATTAGCAAGTTCCTCCCTATAGTTGCCATCTCACCTAGGTTACCATCTTCTCCCACCTGGGCCTCCTTCCACCTGCCCAAAGGGTCCCCCTGCTTCTACTCTCGCCAACTTATAACCAAGAAGGATGCAGAAATCTCTTCTAAGCCTAAGTCAGGTGTGGTCCCCCCCCCCATCACCCACCCACCCCCTGATGGCTTCTGGTCAAATCTGGACTGAAATCCAAAATCCTTACCTTGTCCCTAAGGCATGTCACGATCCTGTCCTGCAGACCGCTCTCACTCATCTCCGTCCACCCTCCATAAGCCCCAACCATGCGGCCAAAGCGTACAGCCTACAAGCTGTCGCCCACCCTGATGGTGTGGTCCCAGTCCCTCTGGCCGGTGCCTCTCTTCCTCCCGCTGAGCACACATCTGGCTCCTCCCTGCCTTGCTGCATGCTTTGGTTGATGAATTACTTCCTCAAAGAACTCTTTCCTAACTACCTCCTTAAAGTAGTTTCCTAGCCGCTCGCCATCACATCACCTTGCTTAATTTTCATCAGAGTAGTCTCACTTCCTGGTATTTTTTTTTTTAGCTCCTTACTGTCATTCTCCTCCACCCCCTGCCTAGAAGCTCCATGAGAGCAGGGGTCCGGTCTGTTCTCCGCCAGGCCACAGAGTTACATACAGGGTTGGGGGGCGGGGGAGAGCTCACCAAGCTCAAGGACTGAATGAGCAAACCCAACAAAATGGAAATAACGTCATGAGCTGGAGAGAAGACTTCTGTGGTGGGTACAGCTGTTCTGTTACGGTGGGAGAGTTGTTCACACAAGGTATAGAAGCGAATCCATCATGTTTCCTAGAGGTGGGACATGTTGCTCACCCAACGCTTACAAATACCCCCAGGAAGGTACATGTAAAAACTGTACTACATTTCCTTAGGTTTTCTTGATTTGGGGGCCTCCCATTCTAGGTCACACCTTTGGAAGTGACGCCTGTACATCCCTGAGATACGTACAATACCGCGCAATACGCATCCGCCCCAAATCACCGCTCTCGCCAAACATCACGAGGTGTGGCGGCAATTGCCATAACTCATCTGAAGCGCTTTGTCTTCCTTCTCCAAACCTCAAATCTCAGCTAGAGCCTCAATTTCTCTTCATCATGCATCTTCTCCTCTACAATAATTTTGGGGTGTCGTAGTCACAAACACGGACCCCGACTGCATTACTATGAAGTGCCCAAAACACAGAAGCCTAGAACGAGCGAAGCACTCACCCTGCACCAAACAAACCCACCAATCCCACTTCATTCCCAGAAATGATGTTGGAAACGATGTTATCCCTCCCAACCTTTTCCTAGGAATCCACATACGTACGTCAGTCAGATCAGACTTACGCGTGGGATCCTCTGTACACACACGTGGGCTCACTCTGGGCAGAATCTGCAATGGATCTTCTCCCGACAAGGTCTTGAGGGTGTATATCACTCTTAACTATGCTACCACTTTCTTTACTATTAACGTCTCAAAATTTACTTAACCAGACTCCTACTGACAGAAACTTATTTTCCGTTTTTCACTATCGTAAGATATACAGCAACCAACATCTTGCTCACGTTGCTTGTTGTCGGTTTTCTTTCACTAGATTTCCTCTCTTACAGCTGCCAGTTTTAGTTCTGAGTCCACAGCTCATGATAACATCACTATTTCCACAAGAATGAAGCTGTAAGTCATGTTTTACGCTCATTTCTCTACATATCATAGCTGTCCTTGAGTGGGGGAGATGATTGCAGATGTGAAATCACATTAAAAAAATGCACAGCCTCCAACCAACGATACGCAGCGGTGATCCCTGCGTGTTTTTTTTAAGAAACAGACTAAAGGCAATAGCTCAAAAAGAATGATGTTATTTATGATCCTCCCTGATACGGAACTGACTTAACTGCACTGGGCAAAACAGACTTTCTTTTAAAAAGTAATTTCAGAAGCAGGTGCTTGCTCCACTTCCTTCTAGAAAGATGTTCTTGTTTCACACACATAATCGTCAGGTGTTGGCTTGTCTGGGTTACAAAATGAGAACATTTTAGAGCTGGAATAGGCCCAGCGAGATGCAAAGCCACGTCTAAGGACACCACTGAGTTATGTCAGAGAAAGGATGAAAAGGCAGGTGGGACACCCATTAAGGAGCATGAGTTTCTCTGAGAGGGAGATTGACACAGGAGAGAGCAATGATTAGAAACCAAGTCCAGGGGATCCCTGGGTGGCGCAGCGGTTTGGCGCCTGCCTTTGGCCCAGGGCGCGATCCTGGAGACCCAGGATGGAATCCCATATCAGGCTCCCAGTGCATGGAGCCTGCTTCTCCCTCTGCCTATGTCTCTGCCTCTCTCTCTCTTTCTCTCTGTGACTATCATAAAGAAACAAAAATTGAAAAAAAAAAAAAAGAAAGAAACCAAGTCCAGGTCCTGGTCCCAGAGGTCAACACCATCATTGCTTGATCTTTGGGGCAACAGATCATTCACGGGATACCATCGTATCGTTGTGTTGCTTGTTATCGCCTTGCTCGTAGTTTGTTAATTATCCGATTAAACAAACGTTTGCTGAGCATCTACTACATGACTGGCATTGTTTCTGTTTTGGAAGCCCGGGAGTAAAATGAGTGCTATGCTCCCCCCCAGTCGTTTACTGGGGAGGAGGAGAGACCGTGACCGAACCCATACGTTCACACGTTTCGATGCCGATAGGCAGTAGGCACTATGAGTCTGAGCAATGGTTGGCTTCTTCCCAAGTGGGGTCTTTTGAATCACAGAGGCTTAGGTACAAAGGCAAAATCATTTTCCAAACACATTTTAAAGGGAGAGAAATCAAATTACAAAGCTTACCGTCATTTCTATCGGGAGTTTCCTGTTGAGGGTGAGCGCAGGCCAGATTATTAGTTAACATATATGAAGCAGCAAAGGTTCTAGATGAAAAGAGAGACTCCTGGGTTCCCCCTGCCAAGTCATTCTGGTTGGGCCTCTGCCCATCAAAGTCAGTGTGGCTCTGTCAAGAATGACTGCATCACGAGGACAACCTCGGAGCCACAACGCCAACGGCAAAGACGCAACTTTTGCAAAAGGGGTGGACGACTCAGTTGGGCATGAGCCACCATGACCTCTATAGTGACCTCACAAAAGTCTTTCAGACCATAACCAGCCAGGACTTTGATGGCAGAGGAGCAGCTTTTAGCTGCTAATGCCCCTAACAATCTTAGAGTCACTCCATGAATAAGCACAAAGGTGTCAGATTTAGGAGTTAAGACCTTCTCCGCCCCAGCAAAACTACTAACTGAATACATCACTGGGAGCACTAAAGACTCATCTTAAATGTTACCTTCTCAGCGAGGCCTCCTTGGTCCCCCTAAAGGTCTAAGCAACTGTCCAGCCAGTACTTCCTCTCCCCCTTTCCACCTCTAGTTTCCCTACTCCTTAGCACTAATCCGCATTTGATTTAACCTCAAAGACTAGAGTCAAAGACTAGACTAACACCCACTAGAATGTAAAATCTCTGAGCCTAACTTTAAAAAAAAAAATGTACTTTGGATATACTACTTTGTTCCCAGAACCCAAGACAGGGGCACATAATAGGTGCTCAGCAAATTTATTCTTTGAGTGTGAATAAAATGACTGCAAGAAGGAATGAGCAATCGGTAGCTAAGTATGGTTCCGTTGGTTATTTCTGTTGCCCAAGAAAGAAAGTCAAGAACAGATGCCAACCTTTAGAAGAAATCAGAGATCACGACCCAAGATTTCTGTCCATCATTGCCTTAGAATAAAGGAAGGTGGAGAATAGAAATCATAAATAAGAGTGGAAGGAAAAGGTAAACTTCGTTTACGCCAATTTGGTGGTGCCTTACTGAGCATGCTCAGGAATAAGCAAACGCGAGTGAACAGACAGCTTGTGAGCTATTTGGGGTTAACGCAGTTCCCCAGTCCTCTTCCCATCTTTCAGTATCTACTTCCCTTCACGCTTTTTTTAAAATTTTTTTTAAATTTTTTTAGATTTATTTATTTATGATAGTCACAGAGAGAGAGAGAGAGAGACAGGCAATGACATAGGCAGAGGGAGAAGCAGGCTCCATGCACCGGGAGCCCGATATGGGATTCGATCCCGGGTCTCCAGGATCGCGCCCTGGGCCAAAGGCAGGCGCCAAACTGCTGCGCCACCCAGGGATCCCCCCTTCACGCTTTGACTTTAAACAAGACTCGCATCCCCGAGGATGTCGACAGACTCAAACTATCACTTGTCACACAGAAACCGTCAAGATGTCCAATGGAGTGGCTCCACAGGTTCCACCAAGTGGCCAGGAATCAGAGTCCCCTGCCATTTTCATACAGCTGCAATGTCACCCACAACACATGCTGGACTCTGTGTTTTTATTATTACTATTATTATTATTATTATTATTATTTTTATTTTTATTTTTATTTGTGATAGTCACACACAGAGAGAGAGAGAGGCAGAGACACAGGCAGAGGGAGAAGCAGGCTCCATGCACCGGGAGCCCGATGTGGGATTCGATCCCGGGTCTCCAGGATCATGCCCTGGGCCAAAGGCAGGTGCCAAACTGCTGCACCACCCAGGGATCCCCTGGACTCTGTGTTCTAACACGACGTGCACCAGGAAGGAAACAGGGCTATATTGCAATGGGGGCTGGTGGCATCATATGGACTCCTCTCTGACCAACTTAACCTTTGGCAATGACCCTGAATTTTGAAGGTCTGCTGTCAGAAGGACAGGACAGAAAGTAATTATGACAAATGGGTGGGGTGAGAAGGGGAAGACCCAACAGAAGCAAAGACCAAGGAACACCAGATACTTTGCCCAATAAAACCGCAAGGTTGCCCAAGATACACAAATGACTAACTTCCTGTGGTCACTGCGTATGTCAGTATGTCACACTTACCGCTCTCATTCTACACAATGATACCATGAAATGTTTCAGGTATTATTATGCTGATTTGGGGACTGAAATAAAGAACGTTAGGGGACTTGCCCAAAGCCTCACCATGAATAACTACCAGGAGGAGAACAAAAACCAAAAGTCTGACACCTGATCCAAAGCTCCTTCCACTGATATTTGCATGTGCCATTTGGGCTGAAATTAGGATATTTTTAATTTCATTGGCAAAGTCATATTAAGAATTTTCTCATGAGATCTGTCGCAAAACGAAGGATTAAGAACCACACCACTATATTTGATTCCGTTTTTAGAACACCATGCCCGGAATTTTATGATTATACCTATTCATAAAAACAAACAAACAAAACCATTGTACAGACATCTCCAATATGGGACTATTTATTTATAAATCTTGGGATGCCTGGGTGGCTCAGCGGTTGAGCATCTGCCTTTGGCTCAGGGCATGATCCTGGAGATCCGGGATCGAATCCTGCATCGGGCTCCCTGCGTGGAGCCTGCTTCTCCCTCTGCCTGTGTCTCTGCCTCTTTGTCTCTGTGTCTCTCATGAATAAATAAATAAAATCTTTAAAAAAAACTTTATATGTGCACAGCTCTTCTAATATACTATGTAACTTAAAAAGTCCTGAAAATATCATTTTGTTCTTCCCTTCCAATAAATCATCTTGCAGCCTAAAAATACATACCACCACTCAACTAATGTTTTACTTAAAACCTTCCATATAGGGATCCCTGGGTGGCGCAGCGGTTTGGCGCCTGCCTTTGGCCCAGGGCGCGATCCTGGAGACCCCGGATCGAATCCCACATCGGGCTCCCGGTGCATGGAGTCTGCTTCTCCCTCTGCCTGTGTCTCTGCCTCTCTCTCTCTCTCTCTGTGACTATCGTAAATAAATAAATAAAAAACCTTTAAAAAAAAAAAAAACCTTCCATATAAAAAAACCCCACAACAAACAAAAAATTGCCTCTCTACGTGGATATGAAACAACTGAATAAGACAAAAATTTACCTAAAGTAGGGGTAGGTACCTATCCTTGAATGATGGCGAGGTTCCCATGTTTGGGCAAAATCAAATGGGGAGCCATATCAGAAAACAGTCTTGCAGTTCCCCAAATAGTTACACATGCAGTTACCATTTGACCTAGCAATTCCTCTCCTGGGTACGTACCCGAGAGAGTGAAAGTACACGTTCACACGAGAACTTGTGCACAAACGTGAACGGCAGCATTATTCAGAATAGGCAAGAAAATGGAAACCACCCACATGTCCAGAGACTGATCGCGGGGCGAGCAAAGCGTGTGACAGCAGGGTCATTGGGCCGCAATACGAAGTGAAGTGCTAAGACACGTGGCAGCACCAACAGGCCCTGAAAACGATATGCGTAGTCCAACAGCCCGTCCCAAAAGATATTTCATTTCATACTGATAGATACTTTTTTTTTTTTTAATGAAATGTCCAGAATGGGGAAAGCCGTAGAGGGAGAACATAGATTAGTGGGTTTTGGGGGGAAAGGAGGAAATGAGAACATCAAGAGTGATGACGGTTCAAGGATACAGGATACATCTTTTTTTTTTTTTAAGATTTATTTATTTATTTATTCAGAGAAAGAGAGAGAGAAAGGCAGAGACAGGCAGAGGGAGAAGCAGGCTCCATGTAGGGAGCCCGACGTGGGACTCGATCCTGGGTCTCCAGGATCACACCTCAGGCTGCAGGCGACGCTAAACCACTGAGCCACCCGGGCTGCCCTACAGGATACATCTTTGGGGATCTCAGCGCTAATGAGGACACATATCTGCTGCATATACTAGAGCCACTGAGCTGTACACTTTAAAAGCAGCACTTAAAAAAAAAAGATTTATTTATTTGAGAGGAGGGAGGGAGGAGCAGAGCAAGAGGGAGAGAGAATCCCAAGCAGACCCCAAGCTGAGCATGGAGCCCTAGGCGGGGCTCGATCTCATGACCCTAAGCTGAATGAAGCCGAGAGTCGGATGCTCCACTGACTGAGCCACCCGGGGCCCCTGCACTGTACAATTTAAATGGGTGAATTGTAGGTTATGTGACTCCTATCTCAATCTCAATAATGCTGTCCAATACAACGAAATGGGAAGAAGTTCCCTTTGTCATCCTTCAAGAAGGTCTAGGAAAGGGCACCTGGGTGGCTCAGTCGGTTAAGCGTCTGCCTTCGGCTCAGGTCAGGATCCCAGGGTCCTGGGATGGAGCCCCACGTGGGGCTCTCTGCTCCGTGGGGAGCTTGCTTCTTCCTCTCCCTCTGCTGCTCCCCCTGCTGTGCTCGCTCTCTCTCTCTCTCTCTCTCTCTCTCTCTGTCAAAAAAAAAATAAATACATACATGTGTAGGGCGCCCAGAGAGTGCTGGTATCGTATGGGCTGCGGGGATCAGAGGAGCACCAGCTGTAGGTCAGGCTGCACACAACGGCACTGAAAGTTCAGGGGGAAACAGAGCGTAGATCAAGGGAACACAGAACATAGACGCCTGAAGTAGGCAGGGAGGAGACAGGGGAAGTAGAAGTGAAATTGCCACAACTGAACTATCTAGAAAAAGAAAAGAGGAAAAAACACAAAAACCGAGAGCTGGTAAAGATGACTTCATGAGTGTGATGGCAACCAGTCACTGGGCACTCACTGGTCACCGCACCCTACACGACCGTCCAGACCGCCACCCTCGTCCTCAGACCAGCACCGCCAGGCAGGTTGTGCGGGTCCCACTGTACAGATGGGAAACAAAGTCAACGCAGCTCAGTAGTGTGCTTACGTGGGACTAAGTGCCCATCTTTGAGAAACATACACAGACGGACGTAGAAATCATTTCTGGCAAAGTCATACAGTGGGAAGAGCCAGCCGGGGATACGGATGACACCCAAGTGGCCATGGTGAGAACTGTTGAAAATGGGAGAAGGGTACATGTCCTATCCCCTGTCCTTTTAAGTTTGGAATTTTCCATAAGCAAACTCCCTAGGTAGAAGTTTTTAAAACAACAACAACAGGGGCACCCGGGTGGCTCAGTCGGTGAAGCGTCTAACCTTGATTTCCACTCAGGTCGTGATCCCAGGGTCATGAAATCGAGCCCGGGGCGTGGAGTGCACTTGAGATTCTCCTTCTTCCTCTGCACCACCCCCACCCCCTGCCTCGTTCTCTCTCTCTCTCTCTCTCTCTCTCTCAGAGAAAGAGTAAAAAAACAAATTAACAAATTTGTTAAATTTAACAAATTAAAAGAAAAGAAAGAATTCCACATTGCTATATCTGTCCATGTGCCCCTGGGTACCTGTCTGACCTCCTTATCTACTACCTCTCCATCCCCACAGCTCTATACTCTTCTGCACCCCTACACCCATCTAGACTCTTCTACATGAACTCCCATCTCTATTCGAATTTACCTTTGGAATGAGACGTTTGTCATCGCCCTTTTTAAAACTGCATCCCTAAGGGGTGCGCTATCCTCATTTACTGTCCTATTTTTTTTTCCCCAAGAGCACTCATCTTTTATCTTGGCCATCATCATCAGTTGATAACTGACACTTACATGGCTTTTACTGTCTGCCTGGCACTGTTCTAGATGCTTCTACACACACACACACACACACACACACACACACACACACACACACGATCCTTCTAATACTTTATGAGGTAGCTATAAGAACACTATTTTCATTTTACAGATGAGAACTCGAGGCACAGCTTGTAAATGGTGCATTTCACCTCCGGGCAGTCTTGCTCCCAAGTTTACATTCTTCCCCATAACAGCACAGGGGTAAAGGAAAGACCTTCAAATCTCACGGACCCAAAGATTTCTCCAGAACATTAAAATTTATCAAGCAGGACGGGACTGCTGGCAATGTCACGCTTACCTCCCTTGGCCCGAATCTCCACAGACACTAAGAGTTTAAACGAAGGGTGAGCAACCAAAACCAAAACCAAAACCAAACCAAACCAATCAAAAAAAAAAAAAAACCCCAAAAAACACATTTTACATACCTCATGAGACAGTTCAAATGATTTGATGATTGAGTCCTTTCGCTTAAAATACCCTTAAAATGTGCATAAACAAGAGTTCAACTCCCCTGACATACCGTATTTAAAAGAGCAATCCTGCAAGCTGTCTTCTAAGAACAATTTCCAAAGAAAGAGAGAATAGGGAAGGACTTTACATATATTTTCCAGATAGTTGTTCTCTGACCCACCACAGATTGCTGAAATAAAAGAATGTAGAAAAGTGAAAGGATAAAAAACAAAAACCACCAAAACCCCCACCCTGCCCTCCTGCCCGAAATCAACAAGACAAAAGCACCTGCCGGCCGGGGGATGCTTTTCATTGTGACCTGCCCCCCAAAAGCTCTGAGGTCTGATTTACATTTATTATTGTTATTTTAATATGTGTAAAAACTAAGGCTCCAAGAACAGAACTCAAGTTTTGTTGTTCTTTTTTTAAAAACGTAATTTCCAAACATTAATAGTTGGGCAAATCACATTTACGTGTGTAGATTGTTTGGCTTTTTCTCCTTTATCATTTTCCAGCTGACTGTTAATGAAGACAAAAGCCACTTGCCTCTGGAACTTCTTTTTTACTTGCTGGACTGGTTTCTCTTTCACAATTCACACTTCATGTTCCAGCGAGAAGTAAAGCATTCCTTCAATATAGGATTATTGTGACTATTTTGTGGATGAGAAAACGGAGGCCCAGAAAAAGGAAGTAAAGAGGAGACCACCCAGCAACGGCAGCAAGCTCAGCACTGGGGACCTGGAGCCTTGCTCTCGCCCTCAATGCTGCCCCTATGTATGTGGGAGATACAACCCAGTACATAAGTTAAGAAAAAAAAAAAACCCACACACAACGGTCCCCATCAAATATAATTTTCTGCCAATCTGAGAAACTCTCCACTTACTAGCTGTGTGACTTTGGGCAAGGCACTTAACCTCTCTGTGTTTCAGTTTCTTTATAGACTGTTGTGAGAACTCAATGAACTGGAACATGCGTATAATCAGGCGGGCACACAATATTCAATAAAATTTAGCTTTATCATCACTATCAGTGTTATTTTATAAAGATTTGTAGTTCAGCATATACAACCGCACAATTAAGGAGGCTTAGTTTTACTTCTCAACTTTGTAAATGAGTCGCCTCTCAACTCCTTTTAATTAGACTCTTAAAAAAAATTTTTTTTTTAATTTATGTATTCGTGAGAGACGCAGAGAGAGGGGCAGAGACACAGGTAAAAGGAGAAGAAGGCTCCCTGTGAGGAGCGGATGCAGGACTCGATCCCAGGACCCCGGGATCAAGGGCCTGCATCTCAGGATCCCTGGGCCTGGGCCGGAGGCAGAGGCTCAGCCTCTGAGTCTCCTGGGGGTGCCCCACAACTCCTTTCAATTAAAATGAAAAATCAATCTCACTGAGGGGGGCGGCACTTGATGGGATGAGCACTGAGAGCCATACTATATGTTGGCAAATCAAACTCCAATAAAAAAAAATACAAAAAGAAAAAGAAAAAGGAAAAACCAATCGGAGGCCTCGGTGACCTTGTCCCGCTTACCTTATTTTATCTTTTTAGAACAGATACAACGTGACACGCAGGCCTTAGTCCCGCTCTCCTTTACAATGGCTGGGAATCGCTTATTTACAAAGAGCTGCTTAAATTGCGACAGTCACACAAGCAACCCTGTGACCTTTCCTTTCCATATTAGCAACGCGAGTCTCCACTTAGGAACAAGGGAAACTGCTCCGGCGGGCAGTGCTACTAGCTGTGTGCCCTCAGACAGGTGGGGACCACCTGTTAGCAAGCAGGGTGACTCTCTCTTTAGCTCCCGCTTCTTCTAGGGATCCCTCAAACGGAAATGCCGATTCTCGCAGTGACCCTTGGCTCTGACATTGTTTTCCCCTTATCAGAAACCAAGAACTCCGGCCCCAGAAAGTCAACCCTGTTTTCCGGAGCTCAAAGGTTTCCTGTAGGGCAGACAAGTCAAATCAGATCCACCCCCCCTGCCCCCCCACCCCCACCAGAGGTCACTACCAATTTGTCAACTTTCTTAGCCTCTCAGGCCCTGGAAAAGATGAGGAAGGCAAAGTTCCCGTCCCCCGGTGGGTCCCCTGATGGGTCCCGATGGGTCCCCTGATGTGCTGGGAAGAGGAGCTGCCGCCAGACACCCAGAAACAGGCAGCGCTGCCCAGCGCGGCCCTGCCCGACCCCCCACCCCGGGGAAGCAGGGCGGGGACGTCCCCTCACTCCACACACAGGCGCCCAAGGGCGACCCTCGGCCCCCCCAGCCCTCCCGAAACACCTTCAGCGCAAAGATCTTTCCGGGGGCGCCGCAGGTGGGTCTGGAAGGCACCCCTTCCTTTTACCTCTCAACCCCATTGAGTAACCCCTCTTGTGAAGGTTCTCGACGTTCTCCAAGCTGACAGCGTCCAGGATCGCGCGGGGGGGGGGGGGGGGGGGTGCGTGGGGCGGGGAGGCGGGGGGGGGGGGAACCTCCCCGTGGCCATCTCAGCAGGCGCACCCCCCCCCCCCGCCATCTCAGCAGGTGCACCCCCCCACCGCCCCTGGCCATCTCAGCAGGCGCACCCCCCCCCCCGCCATCTCAGCAGGTGCACCCCCCCCCCCCGGCCATCTCAGCAGGTGCACCCCCCCCCCCGCCATCTCAGCAGGTGCACCCCCCCACCCTGGCCATCTCAGCAGGTGCAGCCCCCCACCCCGGCCATCTCAGCAGGTGCACCCCCCCACCCTGGCCATCTCAGCAGGTGCACCCCCCACCCCGGCCATCTCAGCAGGTGCACCCCCCCACCCCGGCCATCTCAGCAGGTGCACCCCCCACCCCGGCCATCTCAGCAGGTGCACCCCCCCACCCCGGCCATCTCAGCAGGTGCACCCCCCGCCCCGGCCATCTCAGCAGGTGCACCCCCCCCACCCCGGCCATCTCAGCAGGTGCACCCCCCCCCCGCCATCTCAGCAGGTGCACCCCCCCCCCCGGCCATCTCAGCAGGTGCACCCCCCCCCCCGCCATCTCAGCAGGTGCACCCCCCACCCCGGCCATCTCAGCAGGTGCACCCCCCACCCCGGCCATCTCAGCAGGTGCACCCCCCGCCCCGGCCATCTCAGCAGGTGCACCCCCCCCCCCGGCCATCTCAGCAGGTGCACCCCCCCACCCGCCATCTCAGCAGGTGCACCCCCCCCCCGGCCATCTCAGCAGGTGCACCCCCCCCCCGCCATCCACAGGTGCACCCCCCCACCCCGGCCATCTCAGCAGGTGCACCCCCCACCCCGGCCATCTCAGCAGGTGCACCCCCCGCCCCGGCCATCTCAGCAGGTGCACCCCCCGCCCCCGGCCATCTCAGCAGGTGCACCCCCCCCACCCCGGCCATCTCAGCAGGTGCACCCCCCCACCCCGGCCATCTCAGCAGGTGCACCTCCCCCCCCCCCCCCCCCGGCCATCTCAGCAGGTGCACCCCCCCACCCCGGCCATCTCAGCAGGTGCACCCCCCCACGGCCATCTCAGCAGGTACACCCCCCCCCCGCCACCTCAGCAGGTGCACCTCCCTCCCCACCTCAGCAGGGGCACACACCCCCACCCTGCGGCCGCTCGGACCGCCCCCGGTGCCGCGCTCTCGGGCTGTCCCCGAGCTCGCTCAAGCAGCCACACGCGTGGTGGTCGCCGCGAGACGCCCAGAGGTGTGGGCGCCGTGGGGAGGGACCTCCCGGGCCCCGCCGGCCCTCGCCATCGCCGGGCGCGCTTTTGGGGAAGCGACAAAAGCCGCGGCGGCCGGAACGCGGCGCCGGGCCCGGGCTCTGTGCTCCCGGAGAGCCGCCCCGAGGCCCCCGCTCCCCGCCCCGGGTCGCGCCCTCCTGCGAGTCCCGCCCCTGCAAACCCGCCGCCCGCGGGGGAGCCCGTGTCCGCGCTCGCGCTCGCGCTGCCCTCCCCGCGCCCCTCGCCGCCCCCTCCCCGGCAGCACCTGCACCCCCGCCCCCCGCCCGCCCGCCTCACCCCTGCTCTCCAGGTGGGCGCCCTGAAGGGGGGCGCGGAGGGGCAGCGGCGCCACCGGGCGGGCCCCGGGAGGACGGAGCCGGGACGAGCTGGGCCCCCGCGCGGCTCCACCCCCGCGGCCGAGCGCTGGGGGCGCGGGCCGGGCCAGCCGGGGTCCCGCCCCGGTTCCTCCCCCAAGCCGCGCCCTGCCCTGGGGGGGGGGCCCACCGCGCCCTCCGCGGCCGCAGACCCCGAGCAACGCGGACCTGGGGCCCGGGGCCCCCCCTGCACCTGCTGCTCGCCGAGCCCCGCCGGGAGCCCCCCTCCCGGGACCTGGCGGCAGCACCCACCCCCACCCCCACCCCAGGTCGGCGCGTCCTGCTGAAGCCAGGGTTTGCGGTTCCATCACACCTGGGGGCGGGGGAGCATCCAGGTGTGACGGATCCAGGTGGACGCTGCGGGGAAGCCAAGCCAAACCCGAAGTGTTCACGATTCGAAACCCGAGCCCTGAGGAAGGGTCAGGAGGCTGCGTGCCCCGCGTGCGTCCCTTCCAGGCGCCCCAGCAGCGCCCCGATCTCTCCCGGGGCGGGGGTGCGGGGCGGGGGGTCTCGGAGTTACCCTGGTAACAGAGGCCGGCCAGCCCGTCTGCAGGCTGCAACCAACCTGCCCTCGCTTCCTCGGTGGCTTCTAGGTTGGGGAACCAGGTGGCAGGTAAGGGGGCCTTGGTTTTGCTGGATGGCTCTGCGGAGCATCCCTGTCCCTGGCACAGCCCGCAGTGGGGTGGCCAAGGCGCGGCTCCCGGGGTCCCCGCTCCCGGCAGACGGTGGGGTCCGCATCAGCGCCCCTAGACAAGCTAGCTGCCTGCCCCCCCCCCGGCCCCCCACTCCTGGGGAGCCTGTTTGGAGGCCTAGGAAGGCTTGGACCTGAAAGGAGTCTGGACTTTGGAGGTTCTGCCCCAGGAATTCAGATGGGCTGAAGGCAGACTGGGAAGGGCTGTCTTTACATTGAAAGGAAGGCAGGAAAAAGGGAGGAAGGAAGGGAGGGAGGGAGGGAGGGCAGCCCGTAGATGTGCGCTGCCCGCCTTGGTACCAGGTGCCAAATTATTCTGAGCTACCCTGTGGACATCGCTGAGAATAAACAGATCACCTGCTTCCATTTCACAAAGGAGAAATCTGTGTGTTGAAGAGGTTAAGGTCGCACAGCTGGTAGAGCACGGTCGGGCTTTAAAGACCCGAGTCCAAGGCAAGAAAAGCATTCTCGGAAAGGCACTAGGAGATTTTTAGACCAAGATGGCAAGGTTTGGGCAGTTCCCCCTTGAAGTCGCTTTGACACCATCTTTTTGTTTGTTTGTTTTAAAGATTTTATTTATTTATGAGAGACAGAGAGAGAGAGAGAGAGGGGCAGGCAGAGGGAGAAGCAGGCTCCATGCAGGGAGACGACGTGGGACTCGATCCAGTGTCTCCAGGGTCAGGCCCTGAGCTAAAGGCGGCGTTACACCGCTGAGCCACCCGGGCTGCCCACTTTGACACCGTCTTTGCCAGGAGGTAAGTAGGTCCGCCCCTGCGCTTCTCTGCAGGCCTCTTACAGACTTGAACATGCCCACTGGCTAATCACAGATAAAGGAAGCCCACGTTCTGGAAAAGTATCTTTACAACGAAGAAAGAAAGCTCAAGGACGGGTTTTGTTTGGTTTTGTTTTTTTCATTTAAGAAATACTCACTGGAAACCTACTGTCCCCTCTGGGATTAGAGTCCTGGAAGTAGGATTTCCCAAGTCCTGCTGAGGGCGGGCGTCCCAAGACTACCTAGTGTTAGCTGTTCAATTCTGAGAACGTCGCCGACCATCACCAGCCACAAACCACCTGGGAAAAGCAGAGGCTGGTTTTCTCTTTCACGGGAAGGTCATCCTGCAGGTCGCGGTGCCCTCCCCGCCGCAGGGCCCAGGGGCAGGCAGTGAGACCATAGGGAACAACCCCCCACTTCAGCTGGGCGGGCCCAGGCCCAGCACCCACTGGTCACGCACAAGGCTCCACTGTGGCCAAGACAGCCTCGGAGGAGACGGGAAGCCGGCAGCTGCCTGCCCCAACCCAGCCAGACTTCACGAGAGGTGACTTGTGCCATGAGCAGGGCTGCGACCCTGGTTCTGAGCTCACCCGACCACATCAGCACAGGAGAAATCAGTCTCTGTGCAAAGCAGTGGGGGAAAGAGATGAACTGATACCATCACAGCAGTCCAGGGAAGGGGGGAGGATCCCACCCGGGAGGGAGGTCAACACAAGCGACAGGGAGCCAAAGAACCCAGGGGGGCTGCATTTGGCTTGCCTCGGTTTCTTTTCCTCCTTTCTGTCTGAAACACCCGTTATCCACAAAAGGGCACATCTGGGTGACTGCCTGAGGAGCCTAAATAGGCAAATTCATTGAGGCAGAAAATGGAATAGAGGTTACCAGGGACCGGAGGAGGGGAAATGGGGAATTATTGGCTTATGGGCACAGTTTCTGTTTGGGATGATAAGAAAGTTCTGGAGATGGATAGTGGGGATGGTGGCACATGGTTGCAAATGTACTTAATGGCCCTGAAATGCATACCCACAAACAGTTAAAATAGTACATTTTATGGTATGTATATTTTACTATAGTAAAGTATATATGCATGTGTGTATGTATATACATGCATGTAAATATATATTGAAAATACATGTGTTATAATGTTATATGTTATATATATGTGTGTGTGTGTTTATATATGTTATATATGTGTGTTTTATATATATGTGTGTTTATATAACACACACACATATATATATATGTATATATATATGCCTGACTAGCTGAAGCCTGAGTTGTTCCTGATGGTCTCACTGTCCCAGGCCCTGGGGCATGGAAGGCACCGTGACCTGGAAGATGACCTTCCCCATGAAAAAGAAAACCAGCCTCTGCTTTTCCTGAGTAGTTTTATTTTATTATATATAATAAATG